GTGTGTGTGAGTGTGTGGCGGTGCCAGGCACAGCGTTTCTTCTGGCTCGCACAGTGTTGACCCTGCCCTGTGCTCTCCTCCTACTATGGGCGAGGCCTGCTGCTGGAGCACGCAGCAACACTGTGCTTCGTACTGATACGTGCATACAAAGACACACACACACACACACACAAAGGAAAAAGACTGTGACATTAGCTCAGTGCATAAATACATTCACATTTCAGAATCTGCAAAAAAAGAACACAGATTTTTATTGTTTATTTCCTTGTTATTGCTGATTTCAGTGAGTAGCAATTGCAGCATTTTATTATATCCATGACGATGAGGCTGATCATAACATGTTATATAGCTTTATTAATGACGAGGTGTAAAAACCTCAGCATGTGTTGCATTTTTTCTCCCTTTTCAACCTATAGTGGATTTGACTGCTTTGGAAGTCTTTCCATTCCCTTCATCTCTACCCTCCATTTACATCAGCCGACACGTTCAGCCGCGGATTTCACAAGTGAGACAAATACTGCAATCGCGAGGTATGTGAAAGTAAATTCTTAAGTTGAAACCCAGCCGCTCATGCGCGCAGGCCTGCGTCGTCCGATCGCATCTCGACGCCAGTCCACTTCACGTCTTTCACCCGCTCGATTCCAAATGAATATAAACGAGTGTTTTCATTGTGAGACGGAATGAAAACAGCAAAGTATGTTCCCAAAAACACTCTTAAACGGAGCAAACTACTCTAAAAGAAAAACATTCTTGCAACAAAAAAAAAGAAAGAAAGAAAGCAAGTGGTGGTCAAATTGTTTTTCCTGTCTGCATTTGGTTGCAGAGCAACAAAAGGAAGTCAGGAAATAGGATCAACTCTAATGGTCAATAGAGAATACGTCATATTGTATTTCTGTGAATTAAAACACATTTTTCTTTCAGACTTTTAGCTGTTAAATCATCCAAAGCATCTTACAATAAGGGCACCAGTGAAGCAGGCCTACATTCCTAGACTAAAAAACATTACAAAGTGACTAATAGGAGGGAGGGCAAAGGTCAAAGCAACAGGAACAAGTCACTGGATGTGACATGAATCTGTGCAAAAGCAGTTAGGATTTTCACATAAAAGATCAGCTATAGATCCCCTCTTGCTTTTCAACAAGAAATGTAGAAATAATTACCAAACTAATGTTCCCAACAAGTGATTTCGTAAATACTGTGGAATTCCTAAAGATGCCAGGAACATGTCAGACATTTAAAGGAGGTTTTGAATAACTCTGCCTGCCTCACGGTCGGACGGAAAGTGTGCTGCTTGTGTGTTGAAAATGATGAAACCGCTCAACATTCACCCTTCATACGTACTGAGACACGTTGGACAAAGTTACATCCACGGACCATCTATCACTCACTGTGGACGCTCGTGATTTGAGTATCCAGCAAACTGAAGCTGTCAGATGCAAGGCAGACGTCACCGAGCCTCGAATGTCTTCTTCTGGATCAGGAGGTTGTCTCAGTGTAAATCAGCCAGTTCGGGACCCGGTCTGACCCTCAGCGTTAGCCTTTGTTTGGCAGACGCCTCGGCCCCCTTTAATCTTGTGAAGAGATAAATCCTTTGATGGACCTGGCCTGACTCAGTTGAAAGTGCTGCCCGGCCATCTCCATAGATCAACACAATACGACATGTTTGATGTTTGGGGAAGGGGGGGGGGGCTGAGACACACGCGGGTGGGCTCTTTCTCCACGAACCTAAAGCAGAGTCATCAATCCCCCCGGGGGCCACGGCCACGGAAGACCCCACCAGCTCCACACGCCCGCTGTCCCCTCCTCCTCCTCCAACCGTGAACGCGACCACAAGCAGCCCTGCCCTGCCCTCTTGACCACGGAGCACTAACACTCAGCCAGGATAAGCATATCTGTGTGTGTCAGGCACAAACAGGCAGACGCTGAGATGGCAAGCGTTGGATAACCTTCACTGACACATTCCTCGCTCGATGTACCTGCCTCTGAAACCAGAATACTTTTGACATTCGAGGGGGGGGAAACGTTGTCCCTAACGACAAGGCCGAGCTGGCGTTTTCCCCCTTGTTTCCATTCTCTGAGCTAAGCTAAGCTAACCCGCAGCTAGCACGGACTAACTCAGTATACATGCACTCCACACACACAACAGCCAAAGATTCAGCTGCGTGTCGTGTTGCTCGTTGATTATTTGATTTTCATTCTAAAGGCTAGAAAAGCCTAATAGATCAGTGTTCATCTTCTAATAGAAAATCGCTGATTCTATTAAAGCCAACGACTTAACTGAGGTGATCTTCTGGGGGGGGGGGCTCTGTCGATTCCTGCGCTGAGGCCGCGTTCCCGTTAAGAACTGGCCTCACACGCTCTCTCTTATCTAAATCCTTCATCAACGGGCACCTAATCTGACCGCTGCTGCTAATGTTGATAGATGTGATTCTCCGCTGGGGATTACGGGAGAAGTCAGTGTCGAAAACTCTAACAAACCATTTAATTATCTCCTGGTAGATAAGATCAAGTATTACGGAATGCTATTTTTGTACATATACTATATAAAATGTTTTCTAGCTTGGGCTGCAGTAACACCACAGAGTGTGCGTGTGTGTCTGCGTGTGTGTGCGTCACATATGTAAAGAGTGAGTCCCGACAAGACCAACTAAGGCCAGCAGCGACATTAGCACCCCTGAAATAGCTTGGCAGGCATTTTAATTGCTGAACCCTGCAATGGCTCAAAATGTTCTTGATGTAAAAAAGAAAAGAAAGAAATAAGGTGAAACGTTTCCCAGGCGAAGGATTACCAGAAAACACGGGGAGTTTAATAACAATAAATACCTGAACTACTGAATTGTATTCCCCATTGTTGACTCTGAACTTTGCCCTCTTCCTTCCACATTCTGTCCTCTCACCTTAATCCCATTTTTCTTTCAAACAAATCAAAACGATCGGGCTCATAACTACACGGTATTGTGTTTCCACCTCCTGGGACAGTGGGGGAAGCTGATGATTCATGATGGTATGTTACTCTTTAATCATGGTAGTAATAGCGGTCACGTGCACGAAGCCTCACAATGAGGTGCCGAAGTACTTCACGAGTAGGAAACTTCACACAAACACAGGAAGCTCCGAGTTTCTCATCGAGTGGAGTCTTTGCTGCGGGGAGCGATGGGCCGCTCAGATTAACCCGGGGCCAGAGAACCTGCAGTTCTTACACATCATTGTTGCGGGTTTTAGATCTGCAGGCGCAGAGCGTTGTTATTCCAGACTAAATGTTCAATGTAGATTGTTGTGTGTGAAAAGCGTTCTGGTTGACGGGACATTTTCCCTCTATATTTAAAACGTTTCGGGGAGCACAAGTGAAGTCAAATGAATATAAAAAGCATTATTCATCCACTTAAGATAAGTAACTAACACCATATAATAAGTGCCTCTAACCTTATATCTTGCATATCAGCAGTAAAACACACGGCCGGGGATTTTAAGGTACATACGCTGATATTACGCTACTCATCCACTTTGGGTTGTATACACATCAGTTATATGGGAAAACATATGAAGAAACATGCAGCAAGGTGCTGATTTGAGGTCCAACAGGGACCTCTAGTGATAAAGACGTGTTGTGTTGTTTGCTGTGTTGTCAGCAGTCTCAAAACAAGCTGCAGTGTACCGACACAATCTTTATATGTACTTAATTAACACTCATTTGACCAACTGTAATAGTTTTAATGCTCTTTTGGCTTTAGCCATATTACAAGCTGTCTGCCTTTATCAATTATGTGTCTTTAACAACATTTAAGATTGTGTCACGTCGTGAATTCAACTATATTTAGTTATTGTGCTCAAATTACCATCAGTCCTTTCTGCTGTTATAATATACAAACCATGTAATGAAACAAAATGAAATGAGGACATTTATCACAGCTCATTTCTCCTGGAATTACTCGAGGGACTAAAACTTCAGCAGAGTGTTCAATATGAGGGATAAAGAGCTTTCATTAAATGTGCATCTGATGTTGAACAGGAGGAACGTGCATGTGGACCACTGGGTTTAAACATCTTCCCCTGGCAGCAGGAGTTAAAGTAAAAAAAAAAAACGAGTTAAAAACGAGTTTGAAACAAGGAGAGGAACATCTTCGTAAAACAATGTTAAAATCAAACTGTTCATCATTCCCAAGAACCCCTTTCGTCGTCGTAATGATTACTTTTAGTTATTTTGCTGACAGGGAGTGTAATAGATTTTTTAATCGACTCAAGCTGACACGCAGAAAAACCTAATTGGAATTTATGCATGGGAGCACTGATTGTTTTCTGGGTTTAATGAAGGAGCTGACACGTGCTATCCGCTGCTTACACCACAACATTTCCCTTCCCCGGGTTTAATCTGACCATGACAGGAAGTATCATCACTTTATTTGCAGACTAGCGCAAACAAGAAGGTCATTCTGTCAAACTGAGTGGTAATTAATTTGAGGAATAAGTAGCATTCCCCCCATTAGAATTTTACCCAATGTTATCTCAAAATTGCAAAAAAAAAACACAAGGCAAAAAGAGTGACCGACGCCCAACACGGCCTCCTCTGATGCTCCTGCAGAGGCTGCAGTGGCCGACACGCAACAACCACTAGATGGCGCAGTCGACGGGGCTGCGGTGAACGAAGACAAGAAAAAATTTTTTTTTTTTTAAACACACGCAATTCACGTCACGAAGACAGATGGCGCAATTGCTGCAGAAATGCTGACTGGTGCGATTAAAAAAAAAAAAAAAAAAGGATCTATTTTCTCCCAAACAAACCGAGCCGAGCGGGTCTGAGTGAAACGCGTCCTTTAGGAATGTGTCCAAAACGGGATGCGCAGTGAAAACGTGGCTCGCGGCGGGAGGTTGTTGTGCAGGTTTTGTTGTTTTTTTTGGCCTTGGTTTATGTAACGTTGGGCCTCGCTGTCAGAGAGAGCGAGCTCCAGCAGTCAGGAAGAAAAAGGTAGAGAGAAAAAAAAAGAAAAACACACACACACACATGAATTCCTGGCAGCCCATTGGTCCGCGTTCCCTGTGTGCTGCCACAATACTGCACACACGTGACCTCCCTGTTTTCACCCAGTTGGACGCGTGTACTTAAAACACAGGCCACTACCATTCACCGACACGCACACACAAACACACACACACACACACACACACAACAACAAACAACACACGCGCAGCATCGATGGCAGCGAGGTGAGACCGTTTGCCGCGGCGGGGACTCGGATCACCGGGAGCGGACCATGGCGGCCGCCACGAGCAGCGGCGCGTCCACGCTGCCGATGAAGCACCCCGGCAGCGAACGCACGCGGAAACGCATCGACCCGCGCACGAGGCAAGCGGCGCTGTCCTTTCTCAGCAACATCTCCCTGGACGGGCGACCCGTGCAGGACGAGGCGGACGGGCCCGACGAGGAGGGGGACGAGCCGCCGGAGGCTCGGACCAGACGCAGCCTGGTGTCTCCGGAGCGCTCGGTAGCGTGCGGGGCTGCCGGAGCCGCGGCGGCGGAGGCGGCGGTGGAGGCGGTGGAGGAGGAGGAGGAGGAGGATGCGGCGGCGGTGGCGACCACGGCCGCCCAGGCGCTCGCCTTTGCAAACCAGGCTCTCCTCTCCGGCGGGCGGGCCGGCTTCGGGACGGGCGCGGACGCGGAGGGCGACGCGTTCTTGCCCGCGACGTTCGGCTCGCCGTTCTCCGCGGTGCCGGCGTCGACCCGAGGGAGGCTGCAGACGTACACGCAGGGCGTCCTACCCGTGCCCTTCGCCAGGCAAAGCTCGCAGACCTACAGCCTGGACGGAGTTCTGATCGCCAACTCTGCGATGGAGCTGCAGCGGTCCAGGTAAACGCGCGCGCGCGCGCGTCGCGTGGTTTGGGAACACGCCGTGGGGCGTAAAAAGTGCACGGCTGGCGATCAAGGTGCGATCGCGTCTGCAGGATCTGCACCGTCAGCCCGTTAAACTGAACCTCGCTTTCACATCACAGGAAACTTCACCGTGTGGCCCCCGGCGGGTGGAGCACATAGATAAGAGCAGTCCGCTGTCACTCACTTGACAGCATTTGGTGTGTAGCTACAATAGGATGCCTCTGACAAACCCTCCAGTGCAGTTTGTTCGTGTGTCTTTGCACTCACCAGCAGCACTGCAGACTACCAGAGGTCCTCTTTTAGTTGGTGAACTTCCAATACAGTAAGTGTTTGTTTCCTCACATTGACCACGGCCCTCAATGAATACCGTTTTGGAAAGGTGTCTCCAGTTCTGCAGTCCTCGTGGACCCGACCATGCACATGCCGAAGGATGAGGTCCACCTGTCCGTGTGTGTGTGTGTGTGTGTGTGTGTGTCGCACGGGGATGATTGATGCAGTGTGATCGACCTGGTTTCCCCTGAGAGGACAGAGACCTCTGCAGCACACCGTGTCAATGATGTCTCGCTTCTTTCAAAGAACGTCGCACACCTGTCGTCTCCTTCTCCTCAGCGCCGTGCAAACGTCCTGTAACTCTACACGCCCGTTCAACCCCATTGACAAAAAGGGGACGTCTCTCTTTTATTGGTCTTCTCCGGCTACTTTGCCTTCACCCCGGAAGGCACGAGGAGAGTTTGGAGGGTCTGACCTCTCCACAGGACAGCTGTCGGTAACAGTCGTAACCATGGTTCCCTGTCTGTCAGATCCTTCTGTCAAATCCCCGCTGCTTTTCATTCTGAGGCCCCCCCCAGTCCTCTCCTCGGTGGACTCGGCCAGACTTCTCAGGAAGCTCTGCTTCACGGGTAAACACGCAATAGGCATCCAGATCCCCTTCCTGACCTCGTGGAAATTGCGCTGCCAAACGAAAGCGGTGCTGGGAATAAACAAAGCATCGGAAACACCGTACAATGTTTGCCCCGTTGTCATGGAGTTAAAGACGTTTCCACTTTTCTTGGCATTTAAGGACCCTTTGTGTTCCAGTTGGCGCAAAGGTCGAGAACGACGGTTCATTCTTGACGTTGGAAACCGCAGGTTTTGGACACAAGCAGCTGAGGGACGTCCACTAGCTGAGTAACATCATGTGATTTCATCGAAAGCTCCAGAAAATATACCAAAGGGACCTTGTGGTTCGGTCGCTTTTCAAGGTCAAGAATGACCTTTTGAGTCTTAAATGTTATGATAGTGTCGCTGCGTTGGTGTAGATGTGCTTTTTCAAAGACATTGCATTAAAAAGAATTACACCATCAGATACATTTAATGCCTCATTGCTGCCACAGCTTTGGCAGGATACTTCAAGAATGACTATACTCTGTTAAATGAAAATATCTTTTAATTTAAAAACAAAGCTCACAAGCGATAACTTTTCCTAAATCACACACATTCCAAAAATCGGCAAAATGCTAAACTGTACTTCTAATATTCCTTTGCGCTGGGGACTCTTTGGTTGGTACCAACACCGGGCCCTGTTGCATCTCATCTTGCATCGTGCATTACGGTGGGAAGTCCCCAAACCATGACCGTACTCCGCCTTTTGGAATGTGCTTGGAAGGTGTCCACGCAAAACGAAATGTTAACGCCGCGAAAGCGAGCAACTCGTCGATTGGAGCGCCGGCCGCCCGAGCGCTCCGCACAGTGCCGGGTTTGTTTTTTTCAGGGGTGGTTAGCCGGTGGAAAATCGCGTCCAAAGGTCCCCGCGAGAGGCAGGATGCCCAGACTTCTCTTAGAAGCAGCCCGGCTGCGCCGCTCTGTGTTCTCCGTCCTCCACTTCCTCTCCCCCTTTTCAGCATTTCAGTCCTGCTCCCATCCAGGAAGTGGCGGAGCCTCTGATGTGCTGCCAAAACCGACCTTCCAAGGCCAAAGCTGCTATCACGCCACATCCCCATCAGAAGCTAACGCATGAACGCTATGGATGATTTTTACATTCGGCTTTCCTTCCACTCCTCAGCCTTCATCCGCCATGAAGCGGCACGCCTTTAAGTATAGGATACCTATTACCAGCTGGCCTCCTCCGCCTAAAGGTGAAGCAGTCGCGGCTGGAGAACGAGGCGCACGCGCCACTAAGTCGGCCCCCGTGGAGGTTTGCGTTATCGGGTCGCATTCTCGCTGGTTATGAGGCTTCATTGTTGTTCACTTAGGTCATCGTTGGCTTACTGGCCGGATTATGTAAGAGTGCTTCAGACAACCTGAACTGTCCCTCCAAACAAAGTGGTTTGGACTGAATAACCCATAAGACGTAGTAAAAACGCTCAGCTTCTAATTGTCTTTCTGTTTCTTTTAATCGTCTGCCCATTCATGTTTTTAAAATCTGCTGATTCCTCCTGTTTGTGTGAGGATCAGAGAGGCTAAACTGCCCCCCCACACCCCCCTCCCTCCCTAATCAGAATAATCCCATTTCCAATTTGCCTTGGCTGTATTTGTGGGGAAAAAACATCCCATTTGCATCCACTCTGCGACTCCCTGGCAAAATGGACCAAAAACAAAGACCATGGCGAGCTGCCAACGGGACGTACGTGTGAAACTGTGTAATCACCACGTCTAAATAGTCCACTTGAGTTTTATAGCATCATTGCAAGGCACCGCTGGGCAGGATCACCAGTAGCCCTTTTGGAAACTCATTGCGAGAGGATCGCATTGTGTTTGCAGTCGGAGCATCTTTCATGATCCACAGATTGCATTTCCCTAACATGCTTAAATAATATAACAGAGTGTGCTTGTTGTGCCGCGGATTCATACTGCGGTTTCTTTTAGAGCTTTTGGCCGGGACGTCAGACCGGGTGAATACAGACTCCGACTCGTCGGTCCCAGTCTTGTCCGAGGTGAATGAGTGGCCCACACGGCGTTATTGTTTCCAGGATCTGCAGCGGCCCCGGGATGAAAAACCCTCTTTTGCATTAAAACGCGTCCTGCTGGTGCTGCCGACCTGCAGGTCCTTGGATCTGAGCAAAGTCCTCCCAGTTCAGCTGTGCCTTCATGCACGGGGGGAGCGTTCCCTTTGGGCCCCGCTAGTGAATGAGTTTTAAGGATCAGTAACAATTCACTGAGTCTCTGGAGCGGAATAAGACCGGAGACAGACGGTCACATTAAGAGGTTATTTCTTTCTTGGCACGGATTGTGCATTTTGTGTAACACGGAGAGCTGAAGGATGTGTTGCAACGATTCGGTCTGTTCTGAGCGTTGTTGGTTGCTGGAAATGGACGCGACAAAATCGGCCAAACATTCCTCATTTCCTGCCAAAAGAAATCCAGCCACAGCTTTACAGATGCGAGGCATCCGCAATCAAAGTTAATGAAATCCATCTTCCAACGTGCAGGAGTTTCAGTAAAATATCCCTCTAGTGCAGCAGTGCCAGGAAACACTGCCCAGGGTGATTAGGGAATCGTGCTAACGAGACAGTAGCTCTAACGGACACGCGCTTAATCTGTCACAGTCGGACCTCTGAAGCCTCATGGGAACGGGCCGAGGTTTACCACGCACTTTTTTTGCTCAGAGCAGAGAGTGTGGATTTGTTTGTCTCTCAACCGAAGAGGTATTTGCCTCAGTTAGCACGGACACGTAGAATGATCACAGCAAACGTACTCATTTTAATGTGCATGCGCAGTCATATATTAGGAGGCTACAAAAAAGCTGAAAATGCACATTATTATTATTATTTTTGTTGTTTAATGCCTTGGTTCCTGTGCTTGCGGGGAATATCCATTTTTAAACAGCGGCCTGCTGTATAAACTGAGTGAGCACAGTTGTTTAATAAAAATAAAACCGTTTTAAAGCTCTCCGCGGTGTCGTTTAATAATTCTCCCTCGGTTTTACGCTGCTCGCAACACCTCTCACATTACACAACAGTAATTTGATTCATAGAAGAAAATCCACTATCGCAGTAAGGCCTTTTGTTAGAAACTCCACTGTATTCAATTTGGGATTAAAGAGTCTGATGAGGTGACTTTTACATCATCATTTACCCTTTCCGCTCACAATGAATCAAAACACGGAGGCACGACAACATAGAAATGTTTCCAAATCTTCCTTCAATATTAAATAGTTTAATGATGCACCACCGTGAGAAAGGAAGAAGTCCTCTCAGTCGTCTCAGATCTTTGCCCACCAGATGGATGATGTAAGCCTGACTATGAATCACATGACTCGCCCAACAGGCGGCGGCCACTCCCCATCGTAACAACCACGTCAGCTGTCAAAAGTACCGTTCTTTGCGCTCTTCATTAAAGTGCCTTCTTTAGGTTTCCTCGTCTCCTCAGACGCTCAACCGTGCGCTCGGCCCGAATCGGGTTTTAACGCGGGGAGCCGCTCGAGGACGGAGTCTCCTTTGGCTCGTCCGACCTCATGCCCTGTCGTTCATTAACGGGGCCGCGGTGCCTTACGCTCCACCGCCGGCCCGTTCTGAGGCGCTCCGTGAAGAGGAGGGTTGGACGCCATCCGCCAGTGTAAACACGGCCGGCGCCGTCCAACATGAAATGCACTGTGTTTTGTTTGTTTGCAATCTCACTTGCAGAGTTATTGAAAGCCCCCTCGGGAGGACGCGTCACATTTTTGTTATTTCCCCACTAATGTGTTTTACATCCACTACTTTTGAATATTACCACTTTTTAAAGCAGATTAATGGTGTTGGGTTTTTACTGTGGCGCTGAACGTACAATCACAGGCTAATTTTGGATCAGCTCAGGCGTGCTTTGCCATCGCATGCGGGTTTGTTTGTTGAACTGGCAGCCGGTCGTATGAAAAAGGGTTCAGCAGAATTGGCCTCTTGAGTCGCGCAACCAGTGTGTAAAAACGAAGGCCATCTGGGACAAAAAAAAACGTGCCACACAAAGTGCTCGTTATCCTTTTAGCCGCTCTGATCCCGGAAAGTTCTCTGCCATCGACGCCAGATTGAGGAGTGATGATTGACCAGACACGGCAGACCGACGGGTGATGATTTGCCACCATTGCTCGACCTCCAGCGCCGAGTCGTCATTGACTACGGTCGTGTTTAGTTTCTGGGATTTGTATTGAACCTTTCATGCTATTTGAGTAGTGGATGAGATTGGTTTGTGACTGAAGTTGTATTGTCATACTTTTTTATAACAGTTTTGTTAACTTTGCCAAAAATGATTGTACCCAAAACTTGTGTGTGAGATACCAACACGTGGTTTATTAATAAGTGACAGACGTCCCGGATTACGATTCCCAGTAGATGTGTAACTGTACCGTGATGTTTTACCCACCTATTGACCCACTTGATTTACACGAAGTAGGTAAATGGAGATTTCTTTCAGAATTCTATGTCTACGAATGCTCATTGCTGATTATTCTAAAAGCTAAACCATTCCAGGTGTTGCTTTGCTGTTGAATTGGCTTTAATTTCAATCAAATTATTTTGCAGCATTACTATTTGTCCAAAAACAAAAAGATGGATTACATCCCTTATTTTGAGAGCTGTTTGGCAAAACACATTGGTAAAAGGAATTCTCCAAACTCGGTTGCTCCGCCCCGTGTGTTCTCCCCAGGCGGGAGATTTTTTTTCGGCGTTTTTCGCGAAAAGCTGGGGGGCATATAGAGAAAACCCTCTTTTTTCGAGAGAGACAAATTCCCCGGGACCCCCCCCCCCCCCCCCCCCCCCCTTTGTCCAACCGCGCCGTGTGCCATTCCGAGACGTAATGTTCCCCCCACCGGGGGGGGGGGGGTTCTTTGTCCCTTGAGTTACTGATTTGATGTCTGTTTGACATTTTAGATGCCGAACCCTATCGGGTTCCCCCCGACCGAAGAGCTTCAAGAAGATCCACTTCATAAAGAACATGAGGCAACACGATATTCGCAACGGAAGGTGAGACGCGAGTCCGTAGACGGTCAGTCAGTAGACGTCCTCCGTGGATAACGTCAATCTGCCACAGTCGTCCCGCTACAAGCAGACCCGGCCCATTCGCCGCATGCCGCTCGCACTCGTTTAACGACACGTAACCGACCGAGCACCCGTCCCGTTTCACACAGAGAACAATCGGATGACAAATCCATTCACTGTCAAATCATTTTGGAATCACACCATAATCACATATCTTTGTGTCACACATAAGCCCGCATGCAGCTCACGTCCCAAGGTGAGATCTTTATATGTTTTTAAAAGTGGCCCAGTGGCGTTAATGTGGACGTATTAACCTCTGTGCAGAATGTGCACAGTGAAGTGTTCACTGCGCCATTTATCAAAGTCTCATTGGTGGGATTTGAAATCTTAATTTTCTAGTTTTTCAGGGTTTCAAGTTGTCGGTTAGCGGGTTTGTTTAGACGACCAGTGCAGCAACTTGACGAGTTTATTCTGTTAAATTGGGACAGTTTTACAGGTGAAGGTCTTATATGCTTATCCACATCTGACGTGCCAGTTACCTAAAAACAAAAATGCATCATTGTCGTTCCCAAACCCCTGACCACATAACCACAAATAACTGCACACACTCCTCTCAGACGGTTTCATCTCGTTCTCTTCAATCCTGTTTTTACTGCACACTCTCTCCAACTTTGACCTGTGCATCTTGTCGGATAGATGTTGATTAGCTTGTTTGCCATTTCTGTTTTTATAGGATAGTCCTTATCAGTGGCAGAAGATCCTTCTATAGTGTATTTTCTGTCCTGCCCTATCGAGATTGTAGCCAAGCAGGGTATGTATCCTACAGCATGCTGAATCTATTAACCTCCGCCAGCCTGCGCGCCCTCTTTCCCTGTTTCCCCATCGCTCTTTTTCCTGTGGATGTACTCTACTCTGACTGGTGCATAAATGCTACGGGCTGGTTTTGGTGGATGCATTTTTACCATTCGAGGTTTTGGTGAATAAATAAGCCGCGGGGGGGCTGAAATGGGCATAAGAGGATTGTTTTTTTAAATGAATTGTTGCTTATTGCTTGTATTGCTTCCCCCCCCCCCCCCCATCATGGCTCCTGTGGCGTTTAGCCACTCTTCTCTTTTTGTCCGATCACCCATTTCTGTCTGCTGCAACTGTCGCTGGTGTTTTTACCCCTTTTAAGACCGGGATGTTCTTAAACTTGGACAGACTTTTAATGCTTTTTTTTTCAGGTTTTGTCCTCTGGTTTTAATCGCCCACCAGACTGGCGTTTGTGTCGCGCGCGGTCGCCCCGCCATCTTCGTTTAATCCTTTTCCCTCGTTTAAACGTTTACCACTCCAGAGGAGGGAAACGGCTCTAGCTTATCGGTAGATGACGCTCGATTCCACGGAAGCGGCGCCCACCTGGCTTTCACGTGGGGTCGCTCTGGTACGGCCTGCGCCCCCCGCCCCCCCCCCCCCACGTCACGTGAGAAGGCGGGTTTTTCAGAGGAAGTTAAATGGAAAAGGAGACGGATAAGTGCCGAAGAATACCATGAACAGGAAAAAAAAAGCTTCAGAGTTGGTGAAGCATAAAGGGCTCAATCCCTTCGTGGAATTTCCAAAGCCAGGCAATCAGTGAAAGGTCAAAGGTTAATGAACCCCCAGGGGGCTCTTCAATTTGAATGGTCATAGCTGCTAATTGCCAGTTTACTTTTCAACTGTAAAACAAGCTTTTTTTTTAGAAGACCTGACTCCAAAAGGTTGATTGCACGTAGTTTCTTATTTCCCTCCCTCTTTGTGCTTCGTGATTAGCAGCCATGCTCCCAACAAAACTGCCAAATGATGCTTTCTAACCTGGCAAGGTCCCAAAGAGTGAAGACTAAACAGGAAGAACGTTCTCCCACAGTTACAACACTAAATTATTTATTACAAAGGAACCGTTTGACACAAATAGCTGGATTAGGTATCGTTATCATTGTCTTAATAAATGTCAACTCAATTTAAATGTGTTTTTTATTTGTTACATTTTGTGCAGCGTTTAAGTCAAGCCTGCTGCATTATACAAGAACAATCCCGTCTGTCATGGATACAGTTTATTAATAAAACACGTGTTGGATTAACAAAGACCAGGTATCGTATCGGCACAGAGGAAGTCTTTTTGCTCTCTATTTTAACCATATATATTTATATAATGGGTTTTTTCTTACTACCGTAGTTTTAAAGGAACCCTACTGAGCCTTCCTGAGCTAAGCTAACAGACGCCCGTTATTTAGCGTGCTGACGTGAGAGCGTTCATCTTCTCATCCAGCTGGCCACGATAAAGCCAATAGGCGCCTTTTTTTTCTTCTGAAAATGTCAAACTATTCCTGTGAGCGAAAGTTAAAAAAAAAAAAAAAGGCCTGTTTTCATCAGACGTGATGGACGGTTCTGCAGGGGTCAACTGTGGCTCTTCTCTGCATGTTCTCCCTGTGTTTGCATGGGTCTCCCCACATGCTTCTGACCCCATACGACATGCATGTTAGGTACCGCTCCTGGCATCGCACCGTAGTCGCAGTTGGCCTCTGGGGTAAAGAGTTGGATGGGTTAAATGCAGAGGAAGCTTCCTCACTGGGATTAATAAAGTCTTTTTTTTTTTAACTGGTGTAATCGGTAAAACTCAGGCAAGACTGCAGAAAAAACAATATCACCAGCCAATCCAACCAACTCTAAACTGTTTATATGAGCTGTAAAGTATACGGCAGTAAAGTAGCCAGCCAGGGTTCAGATTTATTTTGTGTGCTTGTTGCAGGATTTGGGAAAAACATTTGGCAGGGAACGATGAGCACTTTGCACAGATTATAACACGACTAACACAGATGTGCGAGCACGTTACAAAGCAACCTCTGCTTTTCTTCTGTTTTTCTTTTCATTCCTCTTTACTCTCAGCAGACCGGACTTCAAACATGTCTTTGCTGGGTTGCTTTATAGAACAAAGCTCTCCGTCTCATATATTTCCCCCTTTTTTTTTTAATGTAATCTCCACTGTTTCCTGCCTCCATTTCCACGATGCATCTATCAACGTGTCCCGGTGTGCTTGTTGTGCCGAATAACAGTTTGCATTATATAAGATCGGTCCCACGTGCCCTCAAAACACTGGGAGGGTCACGTGGGGGCAGACCGCGTCCTCCCTCTTATTTATCGGTGCAACATTTAAAATGCAAAGCGTGACTGAGCTGTGGGAGATAACGGCGGAGCACAAGAACAAGGCAGCTGACACTCTGGGATTAAACCACGAGGTAAATGTTGTGTTCTAAAACAAGGCCGCAGTTGATATTGCACAAACACAGGTGGACATTTAGGCATTTAAACACGTTAAATGTCTTATTTTGGAAATAATGTTTAATGTTTTTGAGCATTTTTATTTCCAACAACCTGTCGTTTGAAATTGCTGCAAAGAACTTGAGTCCTCAGCCCGCCGTTACCTCCTGGGTTTTAGTTATTTAGAACGCTGGAGTGTGAATAAAGTCGACGGCTGGTATGTGAGTGCACGCGCACACACACACAAACACACACTAAGCAGCTTCTAATGGAAGTCACCCATAAATCTTTAAGTGAGGAGAAATTTGACAGGAACTACTCCTCTATTTTAATAAGTATAACTATTATTTGCTGCCACGATTGATGTTGCGGTTTTATCCTCCAATTAATGAGCCAAAGCTTGTCATTTTTTTTTTTGCCCCTGGCTGCTTAGCAGACATTAAATACAGAAATAATTTGCCAATACAAATTGTGTGCAGTCATGTGTCCTCCGCTGACACTCTCTCCAGGAGGAACCTCAGAAGAACACTAGACCTCCTGCACACAGCAGAGTGGAATCTCTGTCTCTAGAGACTTCCTGCTAGGAAGCAAAGTACTCGCCCACCGTCCTTCCTCCCACGGGGGCTCTTTATTTCGGCTCGTCCTCCTGTGTCCCGCCTAAGATGAAGGCAATTACAGAAACTAGACCAGCCGAAGAGTGCAGGTCGATACAGGCCCTTTTTCTGTGCGGGGGGGCGAGGGGGGGGGGCAGGCCTGAACAAGGCGAAAGAAAGGCAGGAAGCCACAGGACGGTGTGTGCGAGTACGTTGAGGGCGCTAAAGGTCTTGTGTTTGTTAGGGATGTCAAGTTGGAGGGAGGAGGGCGTCAGCGGCACCCGTCGGGAGGCGTCAGTGCCAAGGAGATGGTCATCGGGCTCGAGGGAGTGGAGTTGGGAGCTGACGGGAAGGTGAGATGCCAGCAGAAATACGCCGTGTGGAGACGTGGAAGTAGTCGTTAAATGCATGGATTTAAGACTATGCAGTGTAGTTTTTTTTAAATACATTCAGAACAGACTTATTCGTTTTCAATTGTGTGTAAAATGACATTTTAAAGTTAACAGTTGACAGAAAAATCTTTTCTGTTGCTCCATAAATCTTCCAAAACCTCGGGCGATACGAATCTCATCATAAAAATTCAGGAACGCAGGTTTCAGGCCCCCCGGTGTGTGAATTTGACTCACTGCTGCTGATACATGGAGGCGTTTTGACAGCGGCACGCCCTGAAGGCCGCCGGCACCTCGCCTCATCCTGCTTTGACGAGCGCGCCAAAACCACACATCCTACCTGTCCGACCTGCCGGACGAACGGAGAGCCCTGCTTGGTTTTGGTCCAACCGCGATTATAACTCCTCCCGTGTCTGTCTGCAGACCGTGTCCTACACCCAGTTCCTGTACCCCACCAACGCGCTGGGGGGCCGAAGGAACACCATCGACTCCACCGCGTCCTTCTCCCAGTCTCGCAACGCCAGCCACAGGAGCCTGAGTTTGGGCCGAGCCAACAGCAACCAGAGCAGCTTGGACACCGGTCAGGTCGAGCGCTATGAGGTCCAATAAAAGGGGGCAGTGGGGGAAAAACTGGGTGGGCTTCCTGCTCAAGGTGTGCGGTCTGTTTTGTGTCCGTGGCAGGGAACGACCCGGGGGACTTCCGTGAGTATGACCCCAACCTGCTGGACGACCCGCAGTGGCCCTGCGGGAAACACAAGCGAGTCCTCATCTTCCCCTCGTACATGGTGAGAATCACCAACGTTTGTTCCCAATGTTTTTTTGTTTTTTTCCCAACCACATCCAACAACACCAATAAGGATAATGATACCAATTTTTGAGAATCTCTCAGCCGTTTTTTTTAAAATAGGAAGGTTTCAGAAGGTTTTACTCAACGAGGTCACCAGGCGGGCAGCAGCTATTATGTTGCAACGCTTCGTGTAGTGGTTTTCATCCCGGCTCTAAGCCCTTTCTTACTCGCTTTTATCGGGTCTGGAATTATACAAATAAAACCTGAATAGACTCCCACGTCATTCTTTGCCGGGGACTGTTTTTGTCATGGAGGCTGGCAGCGCGCACACACACACACGTACGACCACGAACGACGTCGCTGAAATAATAAGTCAAGGACGGGCTTTTGTGTTTTTGTGTTTTTTGCTCCTTTCGTTTCTCGCCGATTGAACACAGTTTATTTAGAAGACATGACAAGCGGCAACTTAATACCACGTAAAAACACTTGGTCACAGTGGCCGTTGTACTCTGCATGAGGGGAGGGGGCCGTCGCTTCCCCACCTGTCGGTTTCTCCTGCGGGGACGTGAGTCGGTGCGAGAGACGTCCTCCTTCTCCGGGAGAAGAAGCGCCTTCGCTCTCCTTCACGGTTCACGATCAGTAATGAACGCCGTTATTCACACTCCAGCAGATGCCTGCACGATCCACGCCGTTTCGGAGTCATCGGGATATTTTTAGCACCATTGAAATGCGTCTCCTTACTCGCTTTAACCCGGTAGGGGATTATCTCTTGTAACTCCACAGGCGGCTCGGCGTGTATTATATCTACAAGTATTATATCTAAGTGAGGTTTATTTTTGAAAAGTTTATTTACCACATTTGAATGTACTCTCAAAAAACGTTTGGGTTGTAACGGGTGTAATGTGGGTTCTAATATAATATTATGTGTGTATAATCAGGGTGGATGAATGAACCCAAAGGCATCGGTTTAGAACACTTGGCTGCGTGTTGGTGGTCAAATGTTTTGTAGGTCAAAGTTGAACCAAGAGAGTATTTTGAGTAGTTATTTAAATCATTTCAGCACTGCCACTTTGTTGCGAGATGTCTAATGTTGGTGAAGGTTGTTACTAAAAAAGAGGAGCGTTCCTTGTGCTGGAAACGTCCTGTGCTTTGTTCTCTTGATGTGACTCACACACCTGTTACTCAAAGCGTGTTAAAACAAACACGGAGGCCTGACGAGTCCCTACGAAGCCACCGAAAGCTTTGTCCACCTTTTACCGTGTTGTTTTGTCCTCCGGTTTATTTCTTATCCTTTAACAAATCCTGCGAATGAACTAAATCAACTATGTGCTGAATGTTTTCTAACATCCACGTGGCGTCTGGCTCTGGGCTCCAAGCTAGAAAAAAAAAAGCTCAGTCATTTGCTAAAACGGGGCGCTGGAGTAGATTTTTCGGAGGAATATTTCCATGATGATTGACGCATCATTACGCTGCTATAAATACACAATAACACCCGTGTGTGACTCCACCAACCACGGCGGGATGTGTTCATTGCACTCGAGTTTTTAAATCGTAGTTTGGACAACAATGTCGCTCTGTGGCCCCGAAGGATGACACACATCAGCTGTGGATGCACACAGCCAGGTTTGTGTGTTCGTGGGAATCCATTCATTATTAATTCTGCTCTCTTCGTGGGATTCGTTGACAATAAGAAACGCTGGAGAACACAGCCGGGCTTCTCCTTCCAGTTGACACGAGCTGCGCCGGCCCAGCGGGCGAAGCCACGCCGAGAGGCCGCGGAATCCAACACGTGTGTGTGTGTGTGTGTGTGTGTGTGTGTGAGAGGATCCAGCGCTGGAAACTGCTTTGACACCGTCTCTGGTTTTCCTTTTCAGACTACGGTCATTGAATACGTGAAACCCTCTGACCTCAAGAAGGACATGAACGAAACCTTCAAGGAGAAATTCCCCCACATAAGGCTCACGCTGAGCAAGATCAGGAGGTACAGCAGACAGACAACGCGCGGAATGTGTCACGCAAAGACGATCTAACTGTGTCCTTTCTTCAGCGGCAGCAAATCGATTTATCCATTTCTCGTCATTTCGCTGCAGCTTGAAACGGGAGATAAAGAAGCTGGCCCAGGACGAGTGCAGCTACGAGGAACCGACCGTGGCCATGGCTTTCGTCTACTTTGAGAAGCTCGCGCTTCAAGGCAAACTCAACAAGCAGAATCGCAAGCTGTGCGCCGGCGCCTGTGTCCTCCTGGCCGCCAAAATCGGCGGCGATCTGAAGAAGCGCGAGGCCAAGCTCCTGATCGACGTGAGTAAAAAAAACAAAAAACAATGTCAAACCCCAGCATTTCCCCTCTGCTGCCCCTCCCTGGTTGGCTTGTAGGGTCTGCGGATCGCGGATAAACGAAAGGTATGTCAGAGATCCAATCAGGCATCTGCTCCCGTCCAAACCGTGCGTGCCAATCCTCACGAAAACAACGCAGGATCGTGCATATCTGGTATATATTATAACTTTTTTTTTTTAAATATTGTTCTGGCAGAAACTGGAAGAGCGGTTCAGGGTGAACCGCAGAGAGCTGATCGCCTTTGAGTTCCCGGTCCTGGTGGCGCTGGAGTTCAACCTGCACCTGCCGGAACACGAGATCATGCCCCACTACAGACGCCTCCTGCAGACCTCCTAGCACCGGTGAGCCATCGGGGGGGGGGGGGTTCTCCTTCTGCGCCCGACGGACAGAAGGTACCGCCGGCTGCCTCTCGAGCCGGAGATCAGCCAAAGGGAGCCGCGAGTCTGAAGCCTTCATTACTTCGACATTCGTCGTCACTACACAGACTTCTGAAGAAAAAAAGAAAAAAAAGGATTGAAACTCTCTGCAAACGGGTTCTTTGCATGTTTTTAAGTCTTCATCTTCACTTTGTACATTTTACAACTCTCTTGTTGATTAAGAGAGCTTTTTTTTTCTCGGTTTCACTCAGTTTTAGCAACTGACGATTGTAACATTTTTTATCATCTCCTTTCATTAATCTGTCTTTTATAACAATCGGATATGACCGGTTGCCTCTCAGCCCGTGGCTTTGTTTTGGTCAGACTTCCTCAGAGTTACTCGCAAGTCATTGTCTTAAAATTGCACTTTTTGATCATTGTGAAACATAAGGGGGACATTTTTATCAGGGTTTTATTAAGCTAACCCTGAAAAAAAGAATCTTGGGTCATAAGCATCACAATCATTCGAATGGACCTCACGTGGCATATTCACACTTTCTAGCCACACCGATCATGCATGAAAAGTATGGATTGTTTGCATACGGGTGCTTGCAGACTAAATGGGACTTCCTATTTTCACTGAAGTATTCCATTGATTTTCTACCAGTCAAATGCTCGCTATGGATTCACAGAGACCAGACCCACTTTTATCAATGTCAAAGTTCCTGTGCTCTATGTTAGAGTGTATTGCTAGCCCATTTACGGCGCTACAGCGGGGTCGGGAAGGTAGTTTAAGGGGTTTTTATGAGTGCAAGAATGCCATTAAACCGTGATCAGGACTGTCAGCATGGTGCTCTAAGTGTTAAGGGAAAATGTCCTTCACCTGGAGGATGTGGACGTCCAGTTCAGGGACACTGACCTAACCTCTAATGAGAAGTCGAAGCTAAACGAGATCCCGACAGGGATCAATGATGAATTGAACATTTGCATATATTGTACCTTGAATCAGTATTTTTTGATTTAAACGCTAATTTGTTTTGGGGAGAAAAAAAATTGTCAACCAATGTGACCAATTTCAATAACACTGTTCCATTCGTTTGGCTTGTATCACAACGTTGATTTCCTTGTGTTAGAATCTTGAAATTGTGTCACACAGTATTGAAGTGGGGGAAAAAGCATTTAATGCTGCTTAAGTATTGATATTTTAGGTGAAATGAACACAACATTAAACCAAATTGTTGGAAAAAAGCAAGAATTGTGCTGATTTAAGATGAAAGAAATCTGATTTCTGTTTGTAAACCCAAAGATTTCGCCGAAAGATGCACACTAAAGACTCGTGGGCGACACTTCTTACCTGTCTGTTTGTGAATAAAATGCTCCGCTTGTTCAATCAAAACAAGACTCTGACATGCTTTTGCTTCCCCCGAATGCATCGTGCACTGAGTCGACGGAAACTAACCTCAATGCGCAGCCTCTACAATTCCCCTTGAGTTTGGTGTGTTCAATTGTGTACACTTAAATGTTGGAACATTTAAGTTTCTCTTTTGAAACAACACTTTCAAAAGAGACAAATCCATCTGTTGAGACACCAGAAGGCCCCACTGAACACGCAGTCAGAACACGCTTTGCACAACACGCCCTGCTCCTCTGAGACGTGCTTAGCAAACGGCCGTCTCGCAATGTGAAGTCATTGTCTAAAACACAGCGAATCGAGCGCGGCCGCCAGAGGTTTTTGACCGGAACTGGATTGGAAGGTCAGATGTTTCCCCCCCGCCCCATCGAGTGGGAACGCTCACGCGTCCAACGTAAACAAGGTCCACAGTCACACCAAAAACCATCAAAACAAACCGAGCGGGGTCGAGTGTGGACACGCGGCATACGTGGCTTAGTCCCCTACATTGACGGCCTAATTCCCCCCCCCCACGGACTCATAAAGAGGCCTATTGACGGCCCCTTCCTGAGCCCAGCTCACCCAGAAGTGACCCCCATTGTGAAAGTATGTGTAGCACGGTTCGCGTCTATTGCCCGTCCCGCTCTAAAGTAACGTTTGGCTGAAACGGCGTTTTTTTTGTTTTGTTGCCCTCTTCCTGTCGTGCTACAGTGACTCGGAGCTTTTCCACCACTCACTGTAGTTTGTAAACAAGGAAGCCGTTTGATATCTTCCACGTTGAAGGTTTCACTGTAGGAATCGCACACGGATATAACATGTGCAGATGGTACAGGCGTGTTTCTAAGCTGTAAGCGGGTTACAGTTAAAACCATGTTCAGGAGTGGAAACCACTGCAGGTGGACCAGCAACATCTGATCCTGTCGGTGTTTGACGATGCTACACAATCCCTTTTGTTCCACCCCAAGAGTCCATTTCAGAGCCAGCTGAACTCACTGCAACATAAAACCAGTGACGCAAATCAGGGCGTTTAAATGCTTCTTACACTTATTTATTGATGGATCCGTGAAAAGAATCCCGCACAGATCAGATTGTTGAAAGTGAAAATGTAATAGAAACTTAAGATAAAGTTTAGCAGAATTTGTAGATTTTGATATGACGGCTTCAACGCAAGATTGACCGATGGTCTCGTTAGCAGGGATTGATCACCCATGGGGGGGGGGGGTCGGCCTCATGCAGTGAAGAGTTATTTCATTGTGAATCATCCTCACTTTACAGGACTGGCTAGGTCTGCAGATCTTACAGGACAGGTATGTTCTCCCCTGCAGCCCTCCCAGGAACGGTGTGACGTGCCCGTGGGCTCTGGTGCAGATTTAGAAACCTGGAGATCCATCGGCTCATCGGCTGCGGAGGGTCGGTATTTGAAATATTTGCCCCCCCGCAGAAATGGAATTCACTGAGTAAAGCACAGCAGCAAAGGGGCGTAACTACCCCTGATCACTGAGAGCATGAAGTAAAGCAGACGAGCGGATTCAGGCGCCACCCGGTGGTCAGTCTGAAAACATGCATGCAGACATGCATACGCGACCGCATGCAGGCGTGCATACGCGTCCGCATGCAGGCGTGCATACGCGTCCGCATGCAGGCGTGCATACGCGTCCGCATGCAGGCGTGCATACGCGTCCGCATGCAGGCGTGCATACACGTCCGCGTCCGCATGCAGACGTGCATACACGTCCGCGTCCGCATGCAGACGGGCATACACGTCCGCATGCGCATGCAGACATGCATACACGTCCGCATGTGCATGTCATGCTACTGAAGCATCTGAAGTTACACAAAGCTGAAAGACTTGTTTGTGGTGTTTTTCTCCACGTTCAACTGAGTATTATCAGACCAAATTATATTTAAAAACAACAAAAAAGGTTCACAACATACTTTTCTGTGAGGTATTTAATATCTGTTAAAAGCTAAAATATTCCAACGCTCGATCTGGTCCATTTCCCATGTGTATATTCAGTCAGAAGTGATTTGTCCGTATCAATTTACATCACTGTTAACACATTTTTTTGTTAGTCATGATACAAATTATTCATTTTCTTTGGCTGGAAAGGTTTTTCAGTGTTCACCCCAATTACAGAGAAGGAAGGGTCCTGTTCCTTTAAGACAGCAGCAGATCGCACACGCTAAAATATTTAACATGTCCACTGAGGTCACAACCCTCTTCAAATCAAACGAGGTGACGATCCGCTCGACGGGCTTCAGGTTCTGCAAACGGACGCGCTTCCTTTACGTCTGGTGTCCAATGCCGTCACAAGGTTTTGTTTTTTTCAAAGAAAGTGATGCATGGTAACAAAATGTTAATAGTTAAAACAACAACAACAACAACAAAAGAACTGCACACTTATCAAGTTACTCCAGTTTTCTATATCAACACGCTCAAGATGAGACAAGAGAATGTCTGAATTAGTCCTGTTTAAGCTATTTACAGTTAAATATAGCTCGTCCTCTGAATTAAAAAAAAACACGTTTTGTTCAGTAACCGCAAAGCATCTCATTTAAACTCAAATGTAAAGTCACGTTTCACGTTATCGCACCCTTTTGACCTGGCATCCACATGCAGCGGGGTTTCACTAAAAGCCCCCAAGCGGGACGAACGCAGGTATGCAAACACTCCAAAAAGGACATTTAAGATACATTAACTAGCTCTAAAATGAAATGATGCACCGGAAACACCCAATAGCTTCCAATGTGGAAATAACTGACCTTGCCGGGAGCAGTCTGCAGAGAGAAACAACATAAGTGGGCACAAGTACCGTTTTGTTTTGGCCTCTGGGTTTCAGTCCTCTGATGTTTAAATAAAAAATGTTTTAAAAAGACTTTGAGGTTTCTCTTTTGAGAACGTTTACATCCTTTTAAAAAAGGTGAAAGTTAAACCGATTCCTTTACTGCTCGGATGTGAACACGCCCCAAAACCCATGAAGGTGAAAACAAGGAGACAGTTATTGAAAAGTGACTCTGCTACAACTACCTGTCCTGCTTTATAGTAATACACATATTTATAAATGACCTTTCGTAGTCAAAACCCAGATATGATGTGGATGCCAGGTACTATGAGCGCCACAGTGTTCCAGTCAAAGGAATCCTCATATCAAATAGTTTCTACAAAATCCCATGTGAGTAAATCATTTACACTTGTACAAATTCTTTTTCCTGGTATATAATAAAAAGAAAGGCGAACGGTTTTACCCCTTTTGGGTTTTCCCGATCAAAACAGCTGGTAGCATATAATTGATCTCGCCTACTTTCACAATCAAAATACAATGTTCGCTCATTCTAAAAATGCTGGTCAGGCTTGTTTCCCCCATGTAGTGTGAGGAAGAGGAGGAGGAGGAATGGTGGGTGGGGGGTCCAAAGTCTTCTTAGGAAATCAATAAGTTTGCAGTTGGCCTCGTCCTCTGGCTCTCCTATTTCCAAGTATCTTCCTGAGTTAAATCCGTGCATAGTCGTGGCAACGAGGAGGAGGAGGAGGAGGATGGTGGTGATGATGATGATGATGAAGTCACTCGCACTCACACCCACGCAGTCCCTTTCAGGACAAATAGTCCATTGTTCAGTGTCCCTGGCGGCCTGCTAGTAGTTGAGGAGGCGCTCCCTTTCTGTACCAGCATTGCGCTTGTTAGCGGAAAACACTTTGGCTTTGTTCACCGAGGGACCTGTGGAAGGAACAAAAACAAAATAAGGACTTTTTCCAATTTAATTTAAAAAGGAAATTTGACGTAGAATCTCGTACGCTTCGCGTCTGGTCCTTGAAAAGTGTGACATTACTGACCGATATAACTGAGCAACACAGGTAGGAAGATGAGGCCGTGCGCCGCCCCCAGCAGCACTATGGCCAAGTACATCCTGAAGTAGAAGACCTGGAAGATCTGCGACTTGGAGAGAGCCAGGATGAGGATTCCTCCAAACTTGGTTAACGTGATCCCACTGAACACCTGCGGAAAATAACCAGAGTCAAACCACAATTCGTACCAACGGAGATTTCGTGTTTGTAAAGGAGCTTTTCCACAACACACCAGTGCGCTGAAGGTAAAAAGCTTCGCTTCATCAACCCAAAGGGAGACTTACAGAGCTGCCCATGTGGGCCAGCGCCTCCTCGGCCCGCTCCACTCGGTTGTTCTTCACGCTGATGGAAAAGGCTCGCACGATGTGGCTGCAGAACTCCACCGAGATGCCGCAGCACTGCAAACAGCGACAACAGGCACAGAAGTTACCGAACAAGTCCTGATGGCGACGTTCTCAGAACAAAGACCGTCAGGGAAGAATCGGTTGAGCAGTTTAAAAAAAAAAAAAAAAAAAAAGGCACAAATTGCTAATCTTACTTAACGGAGTTGTCATGTAGGAGAGAAAGAATTCTTGTTATCAAAAGGACTTTATTAAAATGAAATGTGGCCAATTTAAACTGATCAAAGTAAAGCGAGTCAAAGTTCTACAAAATCAAATGACTGACAACAATTCGAATGCGAATAAAAAAAAAAAGATGACATTCATCTTTCTTTTTCACTTTAAAAATATTTGGTTTTGGTGCCGTGCTTCGCCCTCTTGAATTGGCAGCTGGACCGTTTGTCAACAGCAGAAATAACGGCTGAAACCGTCACCGCCCATTTCAACACACAGCGCGTTTTCTCTTAAGTCGCGTGTTGGTTGTTGTCCTCGGGACGGAAGCGTGGGAGTGACGTTGCTTCTCACCATGACCAGGTTCACCAGGGATATCGCATTGAGGCTGATGCTCCACAGCCACATGACGCCAAACATGTTGACCAGGATCATGGCGATGGTGACAGAGACGAGCACCGCCGACCACACCTCGAAGCCCAGCAGCACCGTCGACACCGCCAAGATGGCGGCCAGCGACACGCCCAAGTTGAAAGCCGTGTCGCTGGCAATGGTGAGGTACTGCTCGTAGAACACGTAGAAGATGCTGCGGGGAAAAGGGGAAATATTCATTTTGTGCTGGAATGGACACAACGTGTTCATTCTTAGTAGTAGTATTTATATTATTATTATTATTATTATTATTATTATTACTCACAGGGCCTTACAAGTCAACATAGAGCACGATTTAACACACACACACACACACACGGCAGCTCACAACATTCTATCTGCAAAACACTGTTATCTTGACAGCAAGATGAATTACGGCCTCGAGGTCAAACATCAGCTATGTTGCCATTTATATTGTTTTCTGTTGCTGGCTGCTTATCTATTATGTACTTCACACGCCCCCTCTGCCCCCCCCCCCCACTGCCCTTGAACATTGACTGAAAAACAAGAAAAAGAGCACATAAACGTGTCAGTGGGGGAGACTGAAAACGCCTACTTATGTTCACAAAGATACAAGTATAATTGTCTGTATACTATTAAGGAGTAAAACAGGACTCGCCTGTAGGCAAAGACTTTGTGGCCCACGGCCTCGGTGATGTTAGCGGCCAGGATGCGAGCCATTTTCAGCGCTTCTGTGAAATCCGGGGATTCTTTCAGGATGGTGTGGTAGGTCATGAAGTAGGTGGCTCCGACCCCGGTGAGGTCGGGGTACACGTCGACTGCTGCGGCGTAGGCTGCGTGGCCGCTGGAGGAGGATGAGCGCGGTGTGAGAGACTCCAAACGGCGTCAAAGTACTGAAAAGCATTCTGCAGCAGCGCTTATGGAGTTACCCTTTTCCACACTTGGTGTTTGGATTGTCGGACAGAAACATGGGTAAAAACTGCATGAAGTCTTCTCCTTCTGGCCGCTGCTTCCCGGCAGGAGTCATCGGTCGACAGTGTACGCAGGAGGAATTGACCACTGCAAAACAATAGCGGCCTTTTGTTATTAACACGCAGCACTCACCATTGGAGAAAAATCCTGGACTAAAAAAAGGTTTTGTCACGAGAAAAAGAAATATCAAGCAATGCTTTTCATCATTAGATGTTATTTACTTTCTGGATATTTTCCAAATTATTAAGTTTAGTTTTAAACAAAAAGGCTTTAAAACATAATTATAGATTACGGCACCTAAGCAATCATTTTTCACTTCATTTTGTGTCCGAAAAAACGGGAAAGGTCTGTCAGCAGCTTGTGACAGCGGGTTGAAGGCATGTTGACATTAGATAAAAACCTACCTGAGGCATTGCAGAACTCCCCGCTGGTGTTGTAGTATCGACAGCAGGAGGACTGAGGTTTCACCCAGTCAAAGTAGTCGTCAAGCCAAGAGGACGGCGTGAAGCCAATGGTTGTGCTGGGAGGGAAATGGAACGGATCATTAAACCCCATGAAGTGTCGTCTGAAGTGTCCTCACCATCATATCCGTCCAAAGCAAATTAAACTCATTTTTGTTTCTATCTCCAACAACATAAAGTAAATGTAACCTACTTGTCAATTTCAGATAGTAATGTCTTATTTATCTTGCTGAACAAGATGTGTCAGGGGACATAGTACAGCACAAATAATCAATTTTCTCTCCGTGCAAATAAACCATTAATGTGACCATGTGACTCGTGCAAAGCCAGGACTCACTAGTTGCTGATGAGCGAGGCACTGTAGACCTGCTGGACCAGAGAGTCGTTATTGCAGCCGACTCCGCCGCACACAGCGTTCTGCCCCTCCAAACTACTGTAGTTCAGACCGTCCTCCACCACAAAGTACACCGGAGCGCCGGTGTGGAGATACATAGTCAGGTTCTTGAAGTAGTCCAGCACGTACGAGTCCTGAATGAAAGAGACACATCATCAGCACCAATCGCTGTGGAGTCCAATGCAACATGAGAGACAATGTTAAAATAAAAATAAAAAACATACGTCAGGCATGGAGAGTTTCTGGTCCAGTCCAATCTCTACTTTATTCACCACAGCAATACTGAAGGAGAGCATCCCCACAAACACGGCCACCTGAACAAAGGGAAGAAACGTTTATAAGAAAAACGATTCCCTCCGGTGAACAGACGTCTAATCTACTGAATGAAAAACATCCGTGGATCGATAGATGAAAACAAAGCGGTCACTGAGGTACTCACTATGATTGGTCGGACCCATTCTTTGAGGACAAACGGTGCAAAGATTTTCTTGAAAAAACGGAAGAGGAAACTGTCCGTCCGTGTTTCCTGACCTTCCGGCAGCTTCGCGCAGCAAAAGATGTCGAGTCGATTCGCCTTTTTAAAACACAACGCACAGCGCATTTGAGAAGTGGAACTAATATGAAGTTAATATCGTGTCGCTGAGGGAGTTTTCACTACAAAAAGTCCCTGCACAGTCAGTCTAATCAGTCTTATCCCCTCCAGTGTCATCACTTATGTCCCCCTCATCTCCGTCAGACCCACCTCCTGTCTCCTGGCGTCCAAGCCGAGCAGGCTGACAAAGCAGCTGATCTGCAACAGGAAATCAATGAAGACGGCCAAGCCAGCAAACAGAGAGAAAGTCCTCACTGCGGGCATGTTGGACAGGGCTCCTGCAGAAGAAAAGGTCAACAGTTTAATCAGCACGGGACTCCCCAGGGAGGAAATCCTGTCCACCCCGCCAGTTTCTATTCAACGAGGCATACTATCACTCAGAATACAGATTGCCTGGGTACATACAGGGTAGATTAAATGAGGGGGGGGGGATTTTACCCAGGAAGAAGGCGACCGTCTCAGACAAGGAGGAGAGAAGCATGCTGGGGGCTACGTCTCCAAGGATACGCCCAATCTGCTGGTGAAGTTCCTCCTGGGGCATCCGCTCATCCCGCTGTTCAAAAAGGTACAAATAGAAAATCACTTTTAGGATGTTTAAGAGACAAACAAACCAAAATATGTCACTTTCCGAGTGAATAAATTCTCAGCTGAGTAATTAAGATGAATTTAGGTGTTTAAACCATGTTGGAAATCACTGGGTCAATACCCATAACAGTTTAGGAGATTGGGGTTGTGGAGGTACCTGATATGCCTGCACTACAATAAAGATGTTGTCCACCCCGACAGCCAGCACCAGGAAGGGAATGACCTCGATCACGATGAGCGTGAGGGGAATGCCACAGTAGCTGAAGATCCCGAGTGAGGAGGACACCGAGCTGAGCACGATCAGGATACCTGATATACCCAGAGAGATCTTAGAGTCCACCTGCACGGCCAGAAGGAGAGAGCATCAGTCAGCAAGTGGTTTGTCTACTCGTCCCTAAAAGGCCAGCTGACAGGAAACTGCTTACAACAGTGCAGGAAAACAATGACGGAAGGTTTCTTACCATCAGCCTCCTGCAGCTGTTGATGTGACCGAGGGCCAAGGAGATGTAGACGAACATTATGACATAGCTGACCACGATGGTGCTGATGTCACTTTTGCTCTCTCGGTCTATTTCATCTTCAATGCTCCGCTCAGCACTGAAGGCTACAGTCAGGTTGGGATTTTTGAAGTTCTTCATGAACTTGACGAACCTAAAATGCACAGACGAAGCGGTTTGAGTCAAATGCCGAGCCGGCGTTAACAGCGTTTGTTAGCCAGTCAAAGTTATCGCTCGCTCTTCAGAAACAGACAGCAGTCTCACTCTTTCTCCCACGCGCGAGCTTTGCCCAGCCTCACAGAGTCGTTCAGGTAGTTGTTGACTGGGAAGGTGACCACTAGGGCGGTGGCATTGTTGTAGTTGGTTTCTGTAACGAAGACGCATTCATCGCAACGGTTATCGACTTGAACCAATCAGCACACGGCGAGGAGGCGGTGGCAGGTCTGGCGTGTCAGGTCGGATCACACGAGTTACCCCCACCAGGCAAAAAGCCGGAGGGGCCAACGCCCTTTTTCTGTTTCTCTTGATCGGACCACACCCGCCCCAGAACTTTCATTTTGATCTCAGCTACACGCGTGTATAGTTTAAGGAGTGCGTCTTGGATCATGGTAGCTCCCGCTGCAACAACTATAATCTAATAGGTAGTTACAGACAATAACGGCACAGATTCGATTCCCTGGAAAAGCACTTTGATAATAGGCCTGTGATTGGTTGTCATGGCGGCTCTTATGAAAATTAGATATTTCCAATATGATTAGAATTTCAAACACTGCTCCTACAACCGGACTTTTTTTTTTTTTTCTTAGTACAATTTAGGATGCAAAGTGATTACGTAACTAAAGCAAATTCTTAAAATTCTTCTCTGCCCTCAATAGGCGTTAATCCAGCTCACCGTCGTAACCCCCGAGGGCCAGCCAGGGGAAGATGGGGCCCCCGTAGGTGCCTAGGCAGGGGTCGTGGAGGAGGGTGGTGTCGTTGAGGGATGCTGGTGCACTGTGGAACCGAAGATCAACACAGTTAAAGAATAACAGCCATTATGATAGATAGATTCTTTATTAATCACCAAGGGGAAATTTGGGTGAAATAGCAGCAATACAGTAAATAAAATGAGAAATGAAAACTGCACTAAAATTAAAATACAGCAGAACATGTTAAATCAAATTAAAGTGAAATAGTGGGCTGAAATATGAACACAATAACAGATTTAAATTAAGACACTAGTGCAATGTTATTGATATTAAAGTCAGCTAGTAGTGCAGTGGTTGCTCAAATAAACAAGCCAAAGGTGTTTTCTTGTACAGTCTTATTTGCAGATTATCAGATTTATCAGGGCAGGTTTCTGCCATTAGAGACATGACACGAGTGCGGGTTAAGAGAAACAGACGACGAGCCGCTGCGTGACAACCACAACATAATGGGGAAGCGGGGCTTCTATTTCTGTTCTCAAAATGACACGCACCACAGTTCTCTATTCAGAAGCCGTGTCTGAAGAAAACTATTTCTAGCTCGGCCGGCTTTGACCTTTTTTATTCTTTTTTTAAATCTTTGACTGTTTCCTGAACCGTCTAAAACATTTCTGAACTTACGACTAAATCTACAACCACAGTAGGGCCAGCGTATTGGTTAACATACAAAATTCAGAAAATAAAAGTAGCACCTCACCTGACGCAGTAGAGGAAGTGGCTGTGATAGTCAGCATAAACAAAGAAGTCGTCTCCTGCGCTGTGGTCCAGCACGTCGTGGCTGTTTTGGAAGTAGTTGAGGACACTCAAGATGGTACAGTTGGTATTGTAAGGAGCCAGTGGGGCCAAGCAGATGTCCTTCAGGGTGACCGTTTGGCCCTCGTACGTCGCCGTGAGGCTTTCGATGTCAAGCTGAAGATCCAGCACCTGGTTGGTTGAGGTTTCAAAGAATGAAAGTGGAAAAAGAATAGAGAAGCAGTTAACCACAGTCCTCAAAAAGGGCAGCTGCAACGTTCCGATTTCTGAAACAATAATACTTTAGCCCGAAATAACAGCAGCTTCAACGAAAAAAACAATACCTGTGATCTTCCCTCTTCCCGAAATTGACATCACCCGCTAACCCACCTGGTGGAGGATGTCTTTTCTCAAGATGGCTCCAAATGGGACATCTGATCCTCCAAAGTACGGCGAGTAGAGAAAAGGGTCGACGATCGGCGTGGTGATAATGAGCTGCGCCGTTCTGAAAAAGGGTCCGAAGTGGCTGTCGAAGAAGTCCTTCTCTTGGCGCGCCTGGCTGCTGGGAGAAGACCACAGCTCAACGGGGTCGGTGGTGATGCGCATGTAGACCAGTCCCCCGGAGGAGCCCACCACCAGTATCAGGCTTCCCAGTAGGACCACGGAAGGATGCCGCACGCAGAAGGAACCCCAGGAGCTGAAGAGGGTCCGCAGGGCATTTTCGAAGCGCTCACCCAGCGTTTCACAGCACGATGCGTTGACTTCAGGAGGGGAGAAACACGGCGAGTCAGCTCACGGAACGCTTGTTATTACACGCGTTACGCCATTAGAAGATCACATTTGTGATGATTACAGTACCTTGGTCGGGGTTATCGGCGTTGAGAGACAGCGGGTTATTGCTGTCCAATATGGGGCCGTACTCGGACATGATGGTCCTCTTCCTGTGTGCACAAAGAAGCCAGTTTGATATGAACTCCTAAAAGCAAGCATCTCAGTGCTAGAAGAACACACAAGAATCCTTTACCTGTAGTACCAAACTCCCAGTACAGCTCCAAAAAAGATCAGCAGGAAGGCCGAGTAAGAGATCCACATGATGACAGTCATGGCGTCGATACCAAAGATCGTCCACGGAGGAGGGACGGGGGGGGGCACGGGTTTGGGGCCGCAGGCCTTTGTGCAGTCCTGACAGGAGCAGGGACCCGAGCCGTCGTCCAGGCCCTCCGTGCAGGCGTACGTCTTGTTGTTCATGGGAGTGTAGCCGGACACCGGGACGTCTAGTGCAAAGACACGGCGGCACGGCGACTTGAGCACGCAGATAGCGGCAGGTTTGCTTGTTTAAATTGCCTGCTGACCGGATTTAAAAGAACTTAAAAATGATTTACCTGAAAATATGGGGATGATGGGAAAAGGAGACTGTCCGTTATTTATATTGAACATGTATTGAATCCAGTTGGTGGCGTTGCAGTCCTTTGCGTCCTTTCCACACAGCAGTGATAAGGCCTTCACGTTGCTGGATGGAGCCTGGACGTCCTTACAGGCGTTGTACATGGCTGGAAAAAAAGACCCCAAAAAAATGCAGTTGTGGCCACAAGTCACCCACAAAATGACAACACCCCGAGAGCACGACATCATGCAAGAGTAGGAAACCTCTCAGCAGCTGTGACACCTGCAGACCGTGAACTCACCGTTGGTAAACGTCTGTCCGATGTAGTACTGCACTTCCGTGACACTGGGGCCATTGAAGTCGGTGCTGTTCATGAATCGACTCTGGTGAGGGCTGCAGGTCAGCTCACAGAAGAGGTTCATGAAGTTGCTGGAACAAGCCGGACACCTGCACACAGAGACACGGCGGGGAGGTAAGGAGGATTCTGGGGGGTTTTGTTGTTGTACAACACAGTCAAATATGTCAAAATTTAAGAACAAGGTCTAATCAGCAGGCGTACGGACGGATTCAAAAGGCCAAACGCTCAAAATCACTCATCATGTGCTTCATTAGTTAATGTTAGAACCGCCATGCGTACCGGGACAGGAACTGAAGGGGCAGCTGGAGGCTCCCTTTGAGACTGTTCAACTGGTCAACGTCACAGCAGAGGCTTCGGTCTCCGTAGTCGTACCCAGGACAGAGCTCCTGTAAGGACGCACCAAAGGGGATTGAGACACTCTGGAGGTGAAATAGCAGCGGCCCATCGCAGACGATTGCTTTGGTCAAATGTCAGCAGCAGCAATAAAATAGCAATAAAAATCAAGATGCTGCTGCGTACCGCGAGCAGCTCGTGACCCTCGGCTTGGAGCGGCTTTGGAGGACCGGTGTAGTTGCAGTTGTACTTTTTCCCCGCGATTTTGGAGTCCCCACACTCCCCGTACCACACACAGTGCTGTGCATCCACCTGACGGAAAGAAGAGCCAAAGACAGAGTGGTCATTAGTTCAAATACATCGGTCAGTCCGTTCCTTCTTTGCAGAGTATTTTGTAGATTTTTTGTTTATATTTTTGTTTATATTCTTTGCAAGGAAACTAAGCCAGATAGCTCGGACACAGCTTCCCTAAAAAAGCTCCATCGTAGGACAACTTACTTTGGGCTGCTCAAAAAGGACCTGGCCATGCTGGTCAAGGGGGGGGGGAAGCTGTACCTTGTTCACCCGGCGGTGTAACATTTCTCCACTGTCGAACCTCCGGTCACGCCTCTTTCCGGTCTTTCTACTATCTTGTGAATTGCACGTGTGAAAGTAAAGATTTCACTTCTGCAAAAGTGTTTCCACTCGAAGCGATTGCCTCGAGATGTGCCGAGTCGGTTTAGTCACAGTGTGCACGGACCCCTCGTTCAGCGTCACGGCAGCACGCGACAGGAAGGAGAGCGGCGGTGACCGTTGGGCGAGTCGTCGTCCATCTGTCCATTCAGCATCAAAGTGCTCATGTGTTCTTTGTCGGGAGGGGAAGTTGAGGAAGTGGATTCACTTACTCCACAACTTACTTACGTATGAGAAAGCCCGGTGTCACACACACACTCGGCCCTCCTCGTGCCTCGTGGTGCGGAGTTTAAAGGGCAGTGTTTGCATTTTTGCTTCGGTTGGGAGTTTCGTGCAGCTGCAGAACTCAAACTACTGTGTAACAACTATTTGTCCAAGGTCAACCTTCCAAGGTCAGGACGCGTTGTGCGATACTTGTTTGTATTGAGTAAGGCCCATTTGTTTTGCGTAAATTGGGTCATAGATACGAACAGAAACCTGACGTACGACCCAAAACCCTTCCAACAGGAAATCAAACACACATTTCTGGAAATGTATTCCCTCATTTCCACTGCAGTCTCCAAATACTAAATGCTTTTACTCACAAACCACACTCTGCTTTATTTTAAACAGGATGTTGTTATAAAAAATGCAATGATTGATCAGATTCTGAATGATCAGATTCTTAGCATTGTTTTGATTGGGTTGACCCAATAACCTCATGAAGAGTGTAAGAAAGACAAAGGACAGTGTAGAGCCAGCGAGTACTTATCTACATCTGATTACATCTAATCAATGACAGATTCCACCCTGGGGTCTGAAATGACATCTTAAACACAATACTTCACATAACACAATTAATTTTCTCTTCATAAAAAGGTTAGTAGTAATAATCATATTCTCCACGGTAGGAACATGTTTTAATAAACATGGAAGTGTATAATGTGTTTGTGTTGTATTTACGCCCATGATTCGGTTTAAAGTTGCAATTAACGACATCATCAAGGTGCACGACTGTGCTGAAACGTTATTTGCTTTATGTATTATTACGATTTACTTATACTTTGATAAAGTAGGGTTTTACTGTGACAACATGTTTTGCATAGATGTATAGGCGGTGTTTTGAATCGGGTTTCGGGACCGAGCAGGTCCCATTCGGGACGTCGAAGCTAACGTCATACTTTGGGTTATTGCTAACAAAGCTGGTGCCGTTAAAAAGACAAAACAAAACAAACCAAAAAACAGCATTTTACATAAGCGATTATGTTTGAGCTGCTGTTGGCTGCCGCTGTTTGTGACGACGGTGGAAAACGAGGTGATCTAACCGGTGTTGCGTTAGTTTCGCTAGCCGACTCAAAGGACCGTCACACGGCTGAGCGAGCTGAGTCACGTTTTAAGTCACGAGAGCCCGCACGTCAGTTGACACTCACCCATCGAAAAGGTCCCTCCGACAGGAGAATGATGAGGAAAAGCGCAGATAGAAGGCTTTTTCCCGGTAGCTCCCCCATCACTCGTAGTGAAACGACCGAATCGAAGTGACCGAGCGCCCACTGAAAGTTTCGCAGGTCTTGTGGTTGGTTTCTTCTTCGTCGTGTTGTCAGTTGGGGGCGGAGACAAACTCTTCTTCGTGCTGCCACCTTGCGGCGCTGAGTGCACACTGCACCACCTTACCATTGTGACTATACACATCTACTCTAATTAATATAATACTCTTATTTTAACAATCATATTCTGATTTAATTATTTAACTGCATGTAAGTAGACTGTATTAGGAAATATCATGTCCTACATGTATTTCCCTTGTTGGTGTTTACACAGTCCATCAAGCCCCTTATCAGTACAGAGAACTCCTCGTCTCAGTTGATGTTAATAAACTGTATTTCTAATGTTTGGGAAAAATTTCCATCCAATCTGATTAAAGCCAGTCCAAACAGTCCTGATGAAGCAGATATGCTGAGTTTTAAACTGTCAACGTCTTGTGTTGAATTGTCAATAAAAGTAACTTCAGATGTTTCCATCTTCCCTTTTTTGAATGTGCTCATTTGGTTACAAATATTTTGTGTTAGTGAGACATACCTGAAACCAAGTTTGGAGCTGCATCAAAGTGTTATCATTTCTGACAGTTCAACTTTGACTTGTATAACGATCTGATCTCTACAATCTGCATGAATTAAATAAATGCTAACTTTAGGTGAAATGCATCTTGTACTCTAAATGTTTTAAATTAGGTTAAGATATTAAGATATGTTATATGTGTTGGCGGTACATCTAGTGTGCAGCTCATTAAAAGTTGGGAGAGTTTAATATCATATTTTCCCCGTGGCTTAATATTTTAACTACCCTAAGTTGTCCTGAGGACAGCAGACAGCAGCACATCTTGCTTGTGTTTAAGACAGCCATTTTTAATTTTAATTAATAACTTGGATTCCCCCGAGTTTACATGTATAACAGGGCCGTCAAAGTAGGAGTGGAACTCTTCAGTTTTAGGTTTAAACTGAATAATTAGCAATAAAAGGACATATTTAAGAAAAAAACACTAGCAACTCACCTCCTATTTGATACGAAAAAGCTATTGTTTCATGTTCAATGAGATATGTTCTCGTATCTTGACGTTGTTTCTCTTATCTCGTCAGTAGGTGCTCACACCACCACGGAGTGGATGTTGCTCCCCATCATTGATCATCTGCTCAATACATTTCATCAGCAAGTTCGTCGGGCGTCCAGATAAGATGATTGAGTAGATCAGTTATCACTCGGCTCCCATTCCTTCCTGTATCTCGCTCTTCACTATATACTTAACGAAGCTGTGGGGAAGGGGGACAATCACTGTCTCTACTTAGAAAAAAAAGATTTATTCAAGTTCACTTTTGAATGAAACAATCACAAATCAGGAATAAGCGCATTTGCACGTATGCTGTGACAAAATTGTGTACTGAGTATAAATTATGGGTCACTATTTTGGAGTATATTACAGTGCAATCACTGTGTTCTGTACATGTACCTGTGTAAAATCAGCAAAAGTAGGCTTTCAGGTTGCTACAATAGTATATTCCTTTAAAACTAGGAATAATATTTGCAAAGTTTAATGCTCTTGCAAGACTACAAGACATTTGAGTTAAAAAAAAACAAACAGACAAGGAAAAGTCTCCAGCCACTAACACGGATACATGTAGACCACAAACATCGGAAACACTTTTTGTTTCGGGCCTGAGCCCGAATAGTGTGTACAAGGAAATACTTCTAATCCAAACATTCAAAGAAGTTACTCACATGACCTAAGACAGTTCCGCCAGAATTAAAACAAAAAAGTGGGAAAGATAACGGTTTTGTTGCAATAGTAACTTTAAGCTGCAAGTCAAAACACCGGACCAGAAAACTACTTCCTGGGTGCACAAGCTAATGTACCACACTGACACGAGGCTAATTGTGGGTTCGCACAAGTATGCTTCCTGCTACAGGAGCGCTCCTCGTTTTCAATAAGAACACTACCCAGTGTGAATACAACCACAGTCACATATTTGCCATCACATTCTCTACCCAGTTAGTGTGATATCACACATCACACAGGGACCCTCTGGTTTCTATCCAATAGAGAGACGCTTTGTAATACACACAGAACGGACTTAGAGCACACAAGAAACATATTTAAACGATACAACTCTCCAGTATTCCCATTTAAACTGACTGTGCATTGCCACATTTTCTTTCCTCGTTGACTGAACCTTCAGGATGAGCTTCGTCGGGCCTCTGAAGGACCCCAGCAGCCGAGTCAGCGTCTTACTCTCAGGGACTCCCTTTCATCTTCTCGTATTGCCCCTCGGGGGCCACGCGCCACTGCACGTTGCCGTCCCCTTTGATTTCCAACACGTCAATACTGTTGACTGATTGCGTATCTAACTTGTGAAGCGACAACACAAGTACCTTTTTTTTTTTTTTAATAAGAGGCATTTCTGTCCTTTTTTGAAGGAGTCTCCCTCTGACATCAGTTTTCGATATTTAGAGGGATTTTCAGAAGATGTCTTTGCTTTCTAAAACCCGACACAGCGGCTCTCAGGTCAACTGGGTCAACTGGAGTCCTCCTCGGTCCAGCTTTGATTAACAAAAAATCATTTTTAGTTGGTGGGGAGAAGAAAAGCCTTCGGTAAGACACGTACAACAATTGATGGTCCAAACCAGCTGCACCTTCTCAGCGGCTACATCAATGCCCCTCATCAACGGAAGCGGGAACAGTCTCGCGTGCATCGTCCGGGTCCCCCCGGGCCTCAGTCCGGGCCCAGGTAGCCCGCGTTCTCGGCCGCCGGGATGTGTCCGTTGGCGTGGGTCTTAACGGGGGGAGTGAAATCCTGCTGGTAGTCCGGGTTGTCGATGCTGTTCTGCGGCGCGTACTTCTGGACGCCGTTGGAGGCGAACGGGAGGAAGGCGGGCGCCGCGACCTCGTTGAGGTACTCGGGGCCGCTGGACCCGCTTCTGAAGCAGTTCAGGTACTCGGCCTCGGCGTCGTCCGAGGAGATGGTGGGAAGGAGGACGGTGCGAGGCGGACCCGGGTGCTGGTAGACGGGATTCATCACATCGGAGACGCCGTTCTGGTTCATGTACTCTGTGAGAAAGACGCAGACATTAGCCAGAGCCGTAGATGTTTCTCGTCTTTCGTGTACACACACGGCTTGAATAGAAAGTAGCAGGTCATTTATAAAACTGAACGGCACACAACGGCGGCATGTTTCAGCCCATTAGCTGCACACCATTACATCACCGCGCCGCCGATCGTTTTCAGTTTGCAGATGGACTTCCGGGCAGTCATTATTTTGAGTTAAGGGGCCACGCTGCGATTCGTTTTTTTAACTTTAGGAGCGGTTTATTGATCGTATTCTTCAATCCGTCATAATAATTAAACATTACATTCAGCGGTTGACAGAAGTAGAGTGTTATGGGAAATGAGTCTCTGGAGCTCCATCCTTAACTAAGGCCTAAAAATTGGGATAACTTTGCATCGTCTATAACTTGAAAATGACTTCAGACAAAGGGCCAATCACCCTTCATTTCATTTCGTTTTTTTTAAAGCTACATCAAAGTCAATACAGTTGTGAGTCTGTTGAATCTTCCCCCAAACGATGCATTCAAGGAACTTTGCATTATAAAGGCTTTGCATCTACAATCTGCATTTCTTTAAGGATTAAAATAAAAAGAAATCAGTTTTTTTCTGTCTGGTGTAGGAAGGTGGTACTGTGGTTAGTGCGCTCAGCGGTGCAATCAGGTGCAGCAATATGCATATCGTGCAGCAGATGTCCCCCTTCCTCACAGAATGAAAACAGACGCCTCTCTGCCGACATGCGCTTCACTAACACGACAAAGTGGAGCCACGGAGGGGACGTGGATCTGCAGGGTACTTGCCCGGAGACGGCAGGAAGGCCTCGTCGATGAGTTTGTCGGTGGGGTCGGGAATGTATCGGAGCACTATGCTCCCATCTCTGCTCGGGAATGCGTTCTGCAACGGAAGACGGGGGCTGTTTTTAACAAGCGTGGCGCACAATGCAAATAATGAAACACAGAGATAGAATTCATTGTCTTTTTCATTTCTATTTAAAATATTGATTCTCCCTTACCACTAAGCCGGTCCTGCTGTGGCACGTCCCAATGCTGCTGTTCAGGCTCTGCAAAATAGATCATATAAAGTGGAGTTAATGACTGACTGCGGAGGAGGAAATCGTGTTTTATAGATTTACAAAACATTTTATATTCTTTGGTTAATCATAAGGAAGACATTAAGGGAAAAAAGGTTAAACATGTAAGCAAACTGGTAGTTTCAGTGCACTACACAACAAAGTGGTGCACGATGTATTTAGGATTTATTCATTTTATTTTTATGTACTTTTATGTGGGTTTATTTCAAAGCCTCTCAGGGGACAATAAGTAATGTAATGTGTTTTCATGGTACCAGAGGATCCGCAGCTGTCATCTCAGCTCCAGCTGATGAGGATGGAAATAATCAAGCAGATTCATATTCACTCAGCCAATCTGACAAGCTTTGTGGTGTCTGTCAAATTCTCGAGTCAAAGGACTGTGAACGGTGTTAAAACCATGGAAACCGAGCGAATAAAGAGAACAGTGACAGCTGTGGCAACGCAATTACTTTCAACACGAAAAGGAAATTAAAAAACGGTGAAGGAGCGACCATCTGTGTGAAAAAAAAAATGAAAAAAAAGTGGGCCGTGCCCCAACAGTGATATTAAAGTAGCAGGCTCATGCTGAGCGTTTTACAAGCCAAAGATTTAAAAGGAGTCGCCTGCAAAGGTAATCACACTTTGAGGCTTATATGGGCTGTGCAGGTACGAGGGCCAGACCCACGCCGGGCCTCCACTGAGCCTCGCTCGCCTCCCATCAATCAAAGGGCGCCCAGGGAGCAAACGTGGGAGAGGGGAAGATGATGAGGACGGGTGGGTGGGGGGGTCAGGAAGCGGATAAATCCTCCCACCGGCGACAGTTAAACCGAATGAGGGCGGCTGGGTTCAGGTACGACCGAGTCGTGTTAAGTTTAACTCTCCTCGCAGATCGATCATCCGGATTCGGTTTAAGCATCGGCGCTCTGCCGCTTCATGCGAAAGATAAAAACAACAACGACAATATATTCGCTGAACAGCTGATGATTAGAGGAGGCTTTAAAGTTCATTCTGTCTCAATGGTTTTCTTTTATTTCACTTTTTTTGTGTGAGGTGAGACAGTCTTTAGTAAAAACTCCACCACCTTGTGGAAGGTCTACATACACATAGACAGTGATCGGCCGCCCCTGTGAGTGACATGAGGCCATTTGGTTTAATAAAAGGACTGGTCAGTGCATGAACACTAATTTCATGACTTCTTTGGAATCGATTGTCCCATAAAATATATTTTTGAAATACCAGCAGTGGCCTTGAATACATCACATTTGAGTCTTCTCATTTGTTCTCCATCGCTGCAGGATTTGTCTGAGCTGCGGTGGCACAATGTCCCCTGAGACAAAGAGGCACACGGGACTCCCCACGCCTCTGAGGTGTGTCCTTCCTCTCTGTGCGCGGTGCCTCACCGTGGAGTGAAGCAGCGGCGTTTGGGAGGTGCTCCGGCTGCTGAAGAAGCCGTGTTGCGGCAGCAGGTACTCGTCCGCGTCCACGGCGTCCTCCGTGCCGTCCCCGCTGATCAGGCTGCGGAACAACTTGGTGTCCGTGGGACTCGGCAGGTGCATGCGGTCGTCGCCCTGCAGGGGAGGTTTGCGCCGTTACGTCATCAGACCAACAACCGTTCCAGCAACCGTTAGAGCCGAGGTAGAAGACACACCTGAATGACCAGATATCGAGAGGGATCCCGGGCCATTTTTGTACACTCCGCTATGAGTTCCCGGAAACGAGGTCGGCTATCTGCGTCAATCATCCAACCTGCGCAGAGACAGATATCGTCACGGAACGAGAAGATGAAGCGAGACTTTAACCTTTGAGGGGTTTCCGCCCACCGAGCTTACATTTCACCATGATCATGTAGACATCGATGGTACAGATTGGGGGTTGAGGCAACCGCTCCCCTTTCTCCAGGACCGCGGCTATTTCGCTGGCTGGAATCCCGTCGTACGGCTTGGTGCCGAATGTCATCAGCTCCCAAACGGTCACGCCTACAGAAAGGGGGACAGTCGGCATAAGTGAATCTGTTTAAGCTGTCAATCGCCTTGTTTTGGCTCCCGATAAAAAGAGAAGAAATGAGAGTGACGGGGAAGTAAGACCGAATATCACACGGAATCCAAAGAGCTGTGTTGACAAATTGGGAGTGGGCGAGTCGGCAGGATGCATCTCTCTCTGTTTAGGAGGAACTGAATAAGGGAGGAAACAAATCTGCCTGTCACTTCTGCCGGGGCCTGCTGATGCTTTCGCCATATTGAGCGGAAGGCAAGATCAGAACCCTTTGGGGCCGGCCCACACAATAAAGCTGTGCGCCGTGCGAAGGCATCTGTGCGTATGTGGGCTGTGGCAACGACACGTCTTTCCATGTTGACAGATTCAACTTGAATTACCACCACTTGATTGTATTCGTCCACAAAGTTGCAGTTTAAACAGATGCGGGTCCAGAATGTCGTCCCTTTATCGTTCTTTTCTATCAGACAGTATTGCGAAATCGTCATTATTGACCATGTGATTCCTTTGGTTCTTTTCACAAAAGTGTTTGGGGGAGATTGGGACCTTTGACCGCTGACTTCTAACGCGTTCATCCTCCAGTCTAAGTGGATAAAAGGCCTCGGACCTCGGCTGTTCCCGGAGCAAAGGCCTTTTTCCTCTAATCGCTTACGCTTAAATCACTTCATTTGGGACGGAATACATTCCTCCAGCGAGACCGGCGCCAAAACCCGCCAGTACAGAAACAGCTGTGAGACATTTGTGAAGTTACCGTAGCTCCATACGTCACTCTGGTGCGTGTAGGTTCTGTTGAGGATGGATTCAAGAGCCATCCATTTAATTGGTACCTGCGGCACAGAAAATAGTTGATGTAATAATAGCAAAAGATGGAGTAACTATACCTGTAAAGTTACGCTTAACATGATAACATGATGGGAAATAGTGCTTTCAGTTTCTCAAAGAAACGCTATTGTGAGAATGAACTTATCTGATTTGTTATTTTTCTTTCTTCTGACAGATCTATTAATACTGGCTTACATAAGATACAATCTAGAGCAAAACTAGATTTGCAAAAATAACATATTTTGTTCATCTACAGGAAGTCGTTTGTCTAACATTTGCAACCAGGCGGACAAATGATGTCGATAAAGACAAAATAGGGCTGAAACCCCCCCCCCCGACCTTTCCACCATCTGCATGGTACTCCTTCTCATCCGCGTTGAGGAGTTTGGCCAGACCGAAGTCGGTGATCTTGACGTGTTGAGGAGTCTTCACCAGGACGTTTCTCGCTGCCAGGTCCCGATGTACCAGATGGCGCTCCTCCAGGTAGTTCATTCCCTTTTGTCAAACAAACGATGAATCAAAGTTGTTACGTAAGCGCCGGGCTCTCTGATACGGCGGGGAAACATTACATGATCAGACACGATCAAGGTAGCGAATGGACATCATCATATAATAAGTCCTGTCGCTCAACAGTAATTATTAACAGATAAAGACAGCATGTACTGTTCTTTCTAGCAGGTGCAAATATAATCATCATTATGGGAGAAACGCCCACACTTGGCTCGGACGGACGGTGCTGTTAGAGCGAGTGACGCCCTCTTACCTTGGCTATCTGCACGCACCAGTTGAGCAGGTACTGGGAGCCGACGTTGTCCTTGTTCTCCCTGACGTAGTCCAGCAGGCAGCCGTAGGGCATCAGCTGGGTGATGAGCTGCACGGTGGAGGTGAGGCAGATGCCGAGCAGGCGGCACACGTGGGGGTGATCGACGCTGGCCATCACGTAAGCCTCCTGCGGGGAACGCGCCATGTTGAAAGAGAAATGAGAAAAACATTTTCCATCGATCCTGGAAAGGGACAGCTTAAGAAATGGGACATTGGTGGGAATATTTGGAGCAGTGATGCCCGGCCAAGCATATTTTTTGTGGATCAGCTGAGTGGAAACTGAGTCATCACGATGGAAAACTGGGAATCAAAGAAGAAAAAAAAACGGGGATACTCAGCACCGGCCGCCTTCGCACGGAGGAGGTCCGTGCGAACAGCACAGCACAGCTTTATTTAGAAGATTTCCCGTAGCGAGAGCATTAATCGTATTGTCACTGTTCGGCAAAGAAACACTTTAGGTTTTTTTTGTGTGCATTTTGAGCATTTTACAATAAGCCTCTGCCCTTGAACCATGAAGTTCAGACGACGTGTACGCCCGCAACTCGCTCCAGATGTGCAACGACTGGGCGACGCACCCACGAAACCGCAGGATCTGAGATGCACAATCAGCCTGTTTGAATAATGCATCCTGGGCAGGCTGCTTTCTCAGAGCGGCTTCAGGGCCGCATTCCTTTCCATAACGCACGCTCACACACACACACACACACACACACACACACACACACACACACACACACACACACACACACACACACACACACACACACGGCCCTCCGTCTCCTCCGGCCCTTTTACACGGACAAAATAAGCAGTCATTAGTTTCGAATAGCGTTGCACGTGCTATAAATTACAGGTTCCGTTACAGATGATTTGACACATGCGAAGCGATACTTCTACTTTGAGGTTTGACTTTTTGATCTCATTTCCAACACACTATTCTGAAGCATTCCGGGAAACAACAATGGCTTTTCTCCATCAAAAGGTCACCACGTGAACCATTAGACCTACGTCCAAGATCTCCTTGTTTGCTTTTGGCGAAGTGGCCTCTCTCAAAACCTTGATGGCCACGGGTATCTTCACGTCCTCTCCCTCTGGAACCCACAGGCCCTGTATGGACACAGAGGTTGTGTTCGTTTAAGTGACTCAGGAATCGTCGAGACACAAGAACACACATGAAAATGTACAGTTAGTCACAATTACTAATGCCGACGTGTACGTGTTGCATCACTTTGTACTCCACTATGTTTGTAACGACACTTAACCCCCCCCCCGCCTCAATTTCCAAACATAATCCCTTAACCGAGCCGTGGCCCTCAAATGTCCTTTGGCCCTTTGAAAGAATGTCCTTGCTATCTAAAAATGTCCTACTTCTCAAGGTCTGATAGCGAAATTGGTCCTCACAAAGATATCAATTCAAAAGCACACATGCACACTTGTTTTGGTTCTTAGAGACAATATGGCATTGACTTACATTCTTTCTCTGGAGATAACATTAGCCTAAAAGCAACCATAAAATAAAGGCCGAACCTTTTTTTTCCTCCTTTTGTGTCCCTATGAGCGCCCCACAGTGTACTGTGTGAATACTTGAATCCCCACAATGAGATCAGCAGATCTATAAATATATAGAAACACTCACACACACACCACTGAAAGTGACTCATTCCTGATGCGGCAAGTTAAAAATGTGTCTTTGAAAACAGATGTCGACCAGCGAAAAACCCCGACGTGTGATGGCCGTGTAAACCCGCCACATGGATTAGTCCCGAGCTCCAGCTTTGATAAAGCTCTCTGACCGCCAATTGTTTTTTTGTCAGTACCTTGTAAACTGTCCCGAAAGCTCCTGATCCCAGCACTTTGATTTTCTTAAACTCGGGTTCCTTGAGAATCCGCAGCAGAGCCTGGTTTGGTGCCTCGCCGCTCGGAGTCAGAGGTTCCACCAGCTGAAAAAAGAAGGGCCGAGTGTTTGACCAGCCGCCGCGCACAACCGCCCTGGTGATTCTGCTGTACTTTTGTCTTTCAAGCAACAGAAAGAAAAGTGAAACCGTCTCTGCAACGATCGCCAACGGACTTTAAACATCTGGATGTCCCCTACCTCTCTCTCCTGGAGGAGTCTGCGCGTGGTTCTCTTCCTCTTGATGTGGCGTCGGCGTAGCAACACAAACACAGACAGGCCCGCTACGAGAACGGCCAGCAGCCCGCCGACCACGCCGGCCGAAATCACAGAAAGGCCGGAATGGCTGGAGGACAAGTGGGAGCTCAGTTTAGGAACGTGGAGGGAAAACAGAGCCATCGACAAATTCAACAAAAGAATGAGATGATGAGATGAGAACGTGGAACTTGGGCGAGGTCGGCGTGCCGCTGTGTACTTTGGCATCAGCGATTTGTGTTGCTGTATTTATTCACCTTTTATTCTGGCAGCCCTTCAGACCAGGTCCCGTGCACCTGTAAAGAAGCCAGTACAAAAGAATGTGATGGAACCGTCCTGCTTATTTCACACTGCATTCATCATGATGACACTCAAACACTCGTATTTGAATATGTGTTAATCAGAAGATGAGGCCTCCCAGATTTCTGCAAAGGGCAACAAGATGAAATACTTTGAATGCATCAATCATTGCAGAACCACAGGACGACAGCTTGAGAGATGTTCTGGTATCCCTGAACCACAGTAACCACCAGTATACCAACCAGCCACCGCCACAGCGGTTGATGGTCCATCAATGGATCACATTTCATTGGCGCTGACATGACAGTCATGTACTAAACCTTACCTAACAATAAAATCTCTTATATTGTTTTAATAACACTCCCAAAATCTTCAAATCACACAGTTCTCTCCGTCTTTCTCAGCAGAGCACAAAGCCACAGATGACCCTTCTGGCTCCGATCAGGAAACCGCTTCAACATTACAACAGGGAAACACGGCGCCAGTTTCTTAAGTCAGCCGAGCGATGATTTTACCCTCGGGTGCAGTTTCTGTGGCACAGCTTGCACACTTTCATCTGATCGTTGTACTTCCACACCAGCGCGTCGTCCTCCCCCGGCACGCCCTGGGGACATTGAGCCACGCAGAACAGGCCGTCTCGAAAGTTGGCACACTTTGCGCAGTTGCCAGAGCCCTGAAAGAATAAAGCGAGAACGCTTATTTACAACTCTCTTTGGAGGAGGAGTAAATATTACGTAAACAGCTCCGTCTCATTGTTCTAAAGCAAGCTGAGTCTTTCTCACGAAGATGTAAATGTTTGGTAGTAAAACAAAACAAAAAAAACCCTCCCATAAGTGTTTTAGTTTTAGCACATCTCGGTTGACTGAGTGACTTATTCACCCCGTCTACCTCTTCTGTCATAACAATGTCCCACGGTACATTCCCAGCTAGTTGCAGCTCCTTAATCTCCAAAAAGGGGCGAGGACCTGTTATGTTCAGTCGAGATTATAGGCGTTTAAAAGTAGACTGTGGGCCAACCATAATATCAAACAGACGCACCCCTCGGCCCCAACACAACATGCCTTGTGGCTGCACACCATTATGGTCTAATCAGGCTTATGTTGATGGAGAAACGGCACACAGATTTCACGCTGCGCAACACTTCATTTGTGGTTCGCTTTTCGTTGCACTGGTGACATTTTAGGTTCATGAATAAAGTGATTTTTTGCGGTATGTTGAATTGCAATAATCGTCTGGTGTAAACACACATACAGGTGCGTTGCAGGTCGCGGTCCCATTCATGCGTTGACACTCTGGGTGACACTCCATGCAGGTTTTATTCACGACAGTCTCCCGGGGCTCTCTGCAAAAAAACAACAACAACAACAAAGCTGACAGACTGTCGCCGCTGGCTCACCCCATTTCAAACTGTTACATGCGGAGAGAAATTCATGATGCCTTTTTCCAGCGCACAGGTTACATTTTAAGCATATTGAGATTCAATGTTTGACAGAAATCTGCCAAGATAAACAGATGTGAGTGAATGTGCCATTTCAGCTACAATGTGTCCCCTATCTGCTGGAGGCTTGACCTCTAAACACCATGAAATCTTTTTTTTCTGGTCTTCTAATTGATTGAATAACAAATCCGCAGTGTCCAATGTCTAGTCGGGAAAGCTTGTGGTATGAAAACATAGTTTGAAGGAGTCAACTGGAGTTCATAGATCTGATCCGATTAGTTTTGTCTTAAAATGTATTTAACGCTGCATTTCAAAACTTCAGAAAGGCATTTTGAAGACAGATTCCTCCCTTACCCCTCCAGGACGTTGCAGGAGTCCACACAGCTCCCACCGCGGCTGAAGTCGCGGCAGGCAAAGCACATGTTTGAGCCGGGGCCCCAGCAGCTGTCTGTGGAGCACTTCCTGTCACACGTGTGGTTCCTGGTGGCTGAAATCAGACGTATTATCTCAACAAAGAATCTTTCCTGCGTAATTATCCAATTTTTTGATTGTGCTTAATAGAAAAAACAACCACAAATGGATCTCGCTGGGATCCAATTTCAATTTACCACATGTGGCAGCATCTGCATTCCCTTCTATGTTAACAGTTTGGCTTTTTGATTTGAACAGCTCCTCCCAGTGGCTTTTGTCTGTGTAGCACAGGTTCTTGTTCCTGATGATGACGACGTCTCCATCGCTGATTTCCTTCATGGAGCGAAGGCCCAAGTACTCAATATTGAGGTTGGGCAAAATAACACTGCGGCTCCCCCTACCAGAGACGACACGGTGGGACAGGAGGAGAAAAAGAGAAATAGAGAAAGATTTGATGACCGCCTTGGGAAAAGCAAACCAATTGGTTGTGAGTCTTGTGAGGTTTTTACCAGTAACATACCGCTTTGTTCGTCCTCGAATGATCTCCAGGTTCTCAAAAGGACTGAGGGACGTCATGTTCGCTGGCCACGTTTGAATCAACAAGTATCCTGAAGTGACAAATGAGTTGTTAGTTGCGAAACTCCTTCACGTGAATTTAATGTGTCATGCCTTACTCACGTCTTATGCACTCTTACCAGTAATTTCCTTGACTGTCTTAAACACGTCAAGCTGGGCAGGGTCCATCGCTGGCGTATTGGTAAACGGATCTCTACAAATAACAAGAATGTACATGGTTTGTGCCGTGGTGATGTATTACAGATGTAGTTGATATACACATACGGGCTGAAATGCTTCCTCGACTTACCCGTAAATCGATGTGTGGATGATAGCAACGTTACCATCGATTTTCGTGCAGTTTTTAAAGGAGTCGATGTTGGTGGCATTGATAGACAGGATGGAAGTCATGTTCCCTGTCCCAAGTCCATTACACACTGTCAACGAATCAGCAGAGAAAGTGTTTTAAAGCTCTTGACCAAACTCCATATCATTCTGGCATAAAGCTAAACCAAACTGAGCATCACATTTGATTGCAGGCAAATTATGTCGTATGACTTTAGTGGTGGTACTATTCAGGCACTTTACCGCAGTAAATCAAGTGATACCACCATGTAGAGTACAGTAAAAGTAAATTATTAGCAAAATGGTAATTATCAAATGTAAAGGTCATAATGCCATAAAGTTGTTCCTGTAAAGTGGCATATTACTGATTAATACATGACAACATTGGATTCTTAGTGCATTAACATCAAATTAGCAATTAACAAGTTGACATAATAATATTTAATGGTTCGATGATACAGTTTGTATGTAAAGTATAAGACGGCAGCTGGCTTCATATTTATATTAAGAGAAGGTTCTTGTTTGTTCGTATAATTCTAACGTGAATAATAATAATAATAATATGTCCATATTAGAAAAAAAGAATTGTAACAAAGAACAGTACTTTCGTCAATGTACTCGTCACCTCAAACTACACAGTGTGTGAGTCAGAAGTAATTCAGGCCGATACCTTTTGGGCACAGTCCGTCACACTTGGCGCACTTTCTGATTCCTCCCTCGTCCACCTCGAACGTGTTCACACTACATGTCCGCACACACGCTCCATGATCAGTTACCACATAGTTATCTGCAATAAAGGATATTTTATTTGTATAGCACTATTCAACAACAAGGCTTTTTAAAGTGCTTCACATACAACCATTGAAAAAATCCAAACAGAAAGCAAGGAGACTTAAAAACAATTTATGGACTGCAGGGTTTTGAAGTCAATTCTTTGTTTGACAGGAAGCCAGTGAAAAGAACTGAGAACTGTGAACCACTTTCCTGTCCTAGTGAGGACTCGAGCTGCAGCGCTCTGGATCAGCTGTAGCTTTCTGATTGACTCTTCACAGAGACATGTAAACACACCGTTATATAAGTAGAGTCTACTGAAGATAAATGCATGATGTTTTTCCAAATCTTGTTGAGACAGAAGTCCTCTTATCCCTGATATATTCTTTAGGTGAGATTAGGCGGAAAGTGTCTTGATATAGCGGTTCAGGTTGAAGTCCAAGTACATAATTGAACTTAGATTTCTAGCTTGTTTTTAACATCAGTAATTGAAGCTCAGCGCTTCAATTGAACTTTCAATTGTTTATCCTTGTTACCAAAAAGGATTATTTCTGTTTTATCTTTGTTTAATTAAAGAAGGTTTTGGCACATCCTGTTGTAGATTTGTTCAATGCATTTACACAGCCCTTGTATTGGATTGTAGTTTCCTGGTGATACAGTTATGTAGATTTGTCATCTGCATAACTATGATAACATTATTTGTTGTTTTGCATAATCTGAGCTAACGGAAGCATGTAGATGTTGAACAGAAGGGGCCCCAGTGTTGAACCTTGGGGAACGCCACGTGTCGTTTTCTTCGGCTCTAATGTGTAATTAACTACAGACAAGTAATCTCGGTCTTTCAAGCCCTGAATCAAACCAGTTAAGTGTTGTGCCAGTGTCCCACCCAGTTGATGGGTTAGGGTTAGGTGTCAAATGCCGCGTTGAGATCCAATAATAACACTGAAATTCTGTCTTTGTTAAAGTAGATCTCATTGATAACCTGAACAAGAGCAGTTTCAGTACTGTGGTGCTGTAGAAAGCCTGACTGGAAGGCTGCAGTGTCTAAATTAGGCTTCTTTAAAAGGGGTTTAGTAATGGCAGTCATTGTATGTTGCATGATGTTTTCTAGGCGTGTATGGTTGATTGAAGTAAATTGTATCTTGGTGTTTAAAGAGATGTTATTCTGAGATCGGGAAACAACATATCCTGCGTTTGGTGTGGAGGCACTGACTGCTTATCTAATCGTCTGAATGTTATCAGTAGAAAAGGAGGCAAATTGGTAGCCCCAGGTGGATTGGAGCTCCCAATTGCAGCCACTAACACTAGAGGGTTTGTTGGCCCTTCGACGGTAGCAAATAAGGTCGGGTGTATTGTTATTGTTTTAGGTTATGATGTCAGAGAAGAAGGACCATCCAAATTATGATTACAAGGTCTGTCTTCACAGATGTCACAGTGGACCTGGAGCTTTGTTTTTCGCCTCCCGCGCTCAGCCCTGCAGGTTGAAGAACATCAAACGGATCTGAAGTTGATTAAGTATTAATAACCTGTGTGTGTTGTATCATTGTGTGTATATGATCATGATGCGGGGCCTTCAGTATGTTTACAGGGTGTGTTTTATTGGGACAGACCGTGTGAGTTGAACTGATGAGGAACAGTTGTTGCATTAACACGCACTGAAACTCAATCATTTTCTCTCTGTTTTTCTACAGTTTATTATTAAACTTAGATCAACTGTAACCAGTGAATGTGTAACCGCTGATGGACAACTTGGGAACTTGTTCAGCATTGCGCCATTTGAAAAAACTATATCACGCATGATGGGTTTGATTTTGGCCAGCGAAGCCTACTCGTTTTCCTTTTTTCCTTTAGTAGTTCCTTTAGTTTTCATAAATCACCTCTGTCTCCTACATAAAACTGAACGGCACCACCTAAAAAGACATATTTCCTTCTGGGAAGAATGGCACAGCTTTAAATCCTCAGACAAAAGAGTCCATAAATCCCAAACAATGTGTGATAGGTCAAATGCAAATGTAATACAAGGCACAATATGTCTCCCTACAGATGTAATTAGCTGTATTGTATTACATGTCTGTAAAAATATGTATGTGAGAAAAAATCCTTTGCGCTCATCCATCCTTACGTGGGCAGCTCCTGACGCAGGTGGCCCCGAAGTTGTACTTTCCCAGTGGGTTGGGTACCAGCTGGTGCAGGTTGGGGTCGTAGCGCATGAGGCCCGGGCAGGAGTCCTTGCACACTCCGTCGTCCTGGAAGTCCCGACAGGCCTGCAGCACAAACAACAGTCACCCAGTTCAGAGGGCCCATAAGAGAGAGCCACGCTCTTATGATAACACTGCATTCCTCTGCAGTCATGGCTTAATCCCCAAGAGCTGCGCAGGGAGGGAGAGCAGACCGTGTTACTCGAGGCGCTGCCAAGTAAAAGATTCAATCAGCCTTTATATACTTCATAGGTACTGAAACCAATGTCAGTACTTCTGATTATAAAAACAGGTGCTGCTGGGTGACAGCTCTTGTTTTCTGCTGATACAGATTTAATGAACAAACTTTGTGAACAGGCTGAGCGTTGTTGATGTTAAGCGTGTCCCTTTAGTCATTTCATTCCTCTTGTCCCTTAAGTGAAGGAAAGGTGTCTTTCTCTCACCAGGCAGTCGGTGGGCCGCGGCCCCGTGCAGCCCGCAGCACAATGTTCATTACAGCAGTCACTGGGAGAAGGCCCTTTGCATCGCTTAGAGCACTGCTGTGCACAGTTCAGCTTTGTTACTAAAAGAAAGAAAGAAAAGCAAAGAGTCGGTGGGATGACCTCGGAGTATTTTGTTTTCCATTCGTTGTTGTAATTGCGAAGCAATATTGAGGCTGTTCATTTTGCACGTTCAGGTGATCGCAAATACAATGAATATTCTGCACATATTGTTTTAGAAATATTAAAAGGTTCATTTTCCCCATCATAATGTCAAACGACAGAATAGGAACTCACAGGTCTGACAGTTTTGAGGACCGGGTGCCCAACATGAACCATTGTAGCAGCTCGGGTCACATTTCCCACCTGTAAAAATCAGAACGGGGGCAAATGTTCACAGGCTTTAAACTCTTTAAACATATTAGAGAAAATAATGAAATTCTGTGCGACCATCTGGTGTGATATGATTGACTTACAACGCGGATGGCTGATGGCCAAAGGGAGCACCATTTTGGGTTTGCTTTCGGCGTTGACAATGTCATACCACTGTATCGTTTCCACATTACATGGCTGTTTGGTCCCGAACTTAACACCTCCTTTAAGAATTTCTGCATAGAAAACCGCCAAGTGCATTTGATAAAACCACACAATTCATTTTACAACTCAGGATTGTTTTACAGCTTTATAGCAAACACATCACAGGCAACCGCCGACGCGTTGAGGTGGACTGACCCGTCAGGCTGGTCAGAAGGAGCTCGCTGGTCATCTGACCCGTAGGTTTGTCATAATTGGTCAGCACAGCGAGGCCAAACATTCCCTCGTAGAGCGAATGACCTCGAATGATGCGTAGGTTTTGCAGCGGAATCCTGGACGCCGTGTTGAGGGCGATCAGCACATAGCCGCCCACTTCTTCGATGGACTGTGGAAGAAAGAAGCGGGAAAACCAAAAAATTCACTATGATAATTTATCCTCCATAAGTTGAATCTCAATGAAATAATGTATTGTATCCTCTCAACTGGTGATAACAAATATTTTTACCACTCAAGGCCGTGCAATTAAAAAACTATTATGTTCATTTTGCTCTTAGTTGAATGAGAAAGTACTTTTCATTCGTCAAACATTTACACAAGAAAGAATGTTGTATTGCGATACATAATCATTGGGATAATAAATGACCATATCAATATCAAGATGGCATGTTGTTGCAATGCGTTTAGCCTCCATCGCGAAAACGAGTGGTCCTTACCGAGAGGAAGGAGAGGTCTCGGTGGTCCGCCATGTAGGTCACCTCCAGGTTCTCCAGGACCACGGTGCAGTTGCTGTAGGTCTTGACCATGTTCAGGTAGTGGTCATCTTCAGTACCAAGAAGGTTTAAACGGTTGGTGATGCCTTGGCAAACTGCAGGAAAAGGACAAAAGGAAAAATGTAAAAGCCCGTCTCAACTCACGGCCATGCGAGCGTGTGACTCGGTTTTGGAATTTGCTCCGCACAGTCAGAATTTGGCCAACAACTCTGGGGAAAATAACAATAGGGATCAAATCTCAGCAACACGGTGAGTCAAAATGAGCTGGCGGTATCTACGCTGGCAAAGGCCTGAATCTTTCCACTCCTGTCCAGGCTGGTTAAAACAACCACTGTAGCACAATCTCCAGGCCCATTGTGTCATTTCAGAAAAAAAAACTATTTGGTGTGTCACAGCTTCCATGCGCTTTCTGATGATGTTTCCTGGCCGAACTAAAGCTCACTGAATCTCATGATAGATAATGGTCTCGGTAACTGCCAAGTTCAAGGCACATCTGACGTTTAGACATGACTAAGAAAACCTCTCCTCGTTTCTATCGAGCTCGGATCATTTTTACTGCCAAGAACAACAAAAGCATTGATAAAAAGACTCACAGGTTTACAACAGCGTACCTGACCTTATGCAATAAAGTATTTGGATAAGGAAGTTAGTAATGCTGATGAGAGCAGGAGAGGCTTTCTCTGCAATGGAGGTTTTCATGGGAGACAAAGTGTTCGTGAGTCCTTTGAGCTGGTCAGACAGGTTCTGACTGGCACTTAAGAACGAGTCAGCTGTGTTTAACACTGGGTCACCCCTCTTATATAGACACACACACATAAAATTCACACACACACACACAAATAATTATACCAATAGTGACTGCTAATAGTCTTTATTCATGGCTCAACTTAGGTTGAGGAAAACAAAAGATGCATCTTCCTGTTTATTAGAGATGATGGTGTCGCTGTATTGTGTCTTGGGTCACATTCCACAACGTGTCTGCTCTTGAGCTCAAAGAAAGGCCAAACATGCGCTCAAAATTGTGAAACACAACCCACGCCACGGCCCATCACGGCTCAACTTAAACGCGCTGCCGCGTTGTGCAAGTTGCCAAACTGAAGACGAACGGTGAAATAACGTTGCCTTTCAGCCCAGATGAGGTCGCGTTTGAAGCCAAAAATCGCGTACTTTTCCGCTCCCGTTGAGCGTTTATCTCCCCTTGTTGATTTGAATTCACACGAATGAACAGAGAGGGTGCGTCCAATCAGTGAGAATTAGGCACAAACAGCTGTCCTCCGCCCCCCCATTAGTTTGTGCCCGAAGCCTCTGCCTGACTTGAACCTGGCAGTCCAGCAGCCCTGAAACACCGTGGCAACAGAGGCAGACTAGCAAAGGCAAGCTGACCATTATAATTAGAGCCCAGAGCTATTTGAGATGTAATTAGCCTCCTAATTATTACGCAGACAGGGACAACAATCTGTGATAAACAAAAAAGGCTGTCGCGAGGGTGCAACGGTGAATATTAAATCGACCTGATTCGACAGTCTGCTCATGGCGATGTGGATTATGGTTAATAAGTGTCTGTTGGATTGGCCAGTAAATCTGTGGACAATCCCAAAGTCTGCTTCCCGTCTGAATGAGTTTTGTTCAGGTTTATATCTATAACGATCAGTAAAGGCTGCATGACGCAGGCGACTTAAGGTTCAACTGACTTCCTGCAGGAGTTCACACAAGGAAGGAAAAAAAGCCACAAGTAAACATTCTCCCATGCCCAGTTATTGATATGTAACTCGGTTGCAGGTGGTATATGACCTGATATCACACAACCATAAACGGACTTCCTCATGAGGCTGAGACTCATGAGAAAGAACCAAGGTCAGGCTCTAATTACATAGTTACAACAAAAAGATGGCCTAGATAGACATTCATTTTCTTGTATCAACACAGCCTTGTATGCGTTCCCTGCAGTGTACAGTATCGGAGTTTGATGCGTCATAAAAGGTTGCAAAACTTGCATCTACCTGCCTGCAAGTAGAGACACGCGGCAGCTCGTGTGCGAAAGAATATGCAGATCGTACATTAAGGGACAGCTGATTCAATTCTGACTCACCAAATTCATTAAAAACACACTGTGTGCAATCTGCTTTTATGCAAGGGTGAGGCCTGCAGGTGACGTAGCTGATACTGTGACAAAGACTAATTAGAGATTGCTTCACTTCCTCCAGCTGTACTGTCGTCACAAACCGTCCAGGAGGTTACTCTGTGAGGAAGGAGTTGCAGGTCTGGTATATCTCGGCTTTAGTACATTATGGGTGTGTGTGTGTGCATAATATTCCCTGGCCGGCGCCGATCAGCACCCAGTAAGAACCAGACAAAGGAGTCCATAAACCCGACCCTTAGTCATCTAAGCTCGTTGAAATGTGCGGTGGCATGTCACTCGTTCGATGTTTACTCGGGGACTAGCGTTGGAAGTCGAGGGTGTGTGGGTAGATATTTGTTTCTTGAGGCTATTGGATCTGCTAGACTACAGAAAAATGTCTGATAACTAGCTGATTGTTCAGTATACATTTTAAAACGACACCGAAATTGAGAAGGGACGTGATTTATTGGTGTGGAAAGTCCAGGACACGTCTCAATCGATGGCACTTTCCTGTCTGTAATGTGAAGTTACTGCAAGCAGGCGGTTTGATTGGCTTAGCATAAAGTTGGGAAGCAAAGGGAAACAGCCAGCCTGCATCCGTCTGGTATATAAACCAAAAATAAGACTTTATTGTGCACGGTAAACTAGCTGTAATGTGTAAATCGGTGAGCCGGGGAAGCTTTTTCCATCTGTATCCAGGCTGGTTGCAGCACTATATCTAAAAGACATAAGAGCGGCATGGAAAATGTCCAATTTCTCCCTCTAAAAGCTTTTCAAAGCCGCAGAGCCGACCGGATTGCATGAGTGCTACAGGTGTTTGTGTTATTGTGTCCATTTCCTTCATCACGCTAGCGGCGTTCGCGCCCGTCTTCAGGAGTAAACCGCTACTCTCCTGCTCTGCGGCTGAAGAACGGATTTGACCGAGGAGGAGAGAAGCAGGGTATAAAACCAAAGTCACGCAGACAAAAGTTACTGTAAATATTTAAGAGACATCAACGGAACACTGTCGGAATAAATTGCCAACGTGAAATACCAAAACCAACCGAAAAAGGAAAACAGCTGCCACAGAAACTCACATTCTGAGGTCTTATTGACGTGTCCGCGCAGCCAACTTTTGCATTTTGATGCCCATGAGAGGAAACGCACGAAAACACAAAGCTTTCTACCGTAAACACGCTTTCCTGTGGTGCACTGAGGCATCTACTACACATCTAAAATCACCATGCTTCATTCCGCTCTGCAGACAGCAGAAACGGCCCCCGCCGCCTTCTCTTCCCCTCGTTCACTACCTGCAACTCGATTACGCCGCGTGTCCAGAGTCTGATAACAAAGTTATCGGAAAACGTACACATAATTAGGGTGAAGCAACAATGCTTACTGACGTGACTCGTTTATTTCTCTCTCTGAGTCAATGGCCTTACGGCAAAGCAGCGTATGTAATTCAATCGGCAGCCCCCCCCCCATCCGCTGATAACACATCGATGCCCACATTAATTCCCTTATTGAGGGGTAAATTATGGTTAACCCCCTCATACATCTCCACACGTATCGTGAAAGAATGTTGGTAAGTGGAAAAAAGACGGACGCGCTCTGCTTTTATTGGCCCGCGTTTCAAGTCAGGCTCCTCTCGGGGTCGCGTTGACTCATATTTTAAGAGCTCCAGATTTCAGGGAATCATAAGTCTCTCACAGCTCTGGTTATTTCTTTACATTCGGCTCATACATCCTCTGCTAGATTTCATGGCTCACATTCCGGAAGAGATGAGAGATCAAATGTCATAAAAACGGAAAAACCGGCAACACTAGTTGCTTTGCATTCTTTAAGGCCGTGTGCTGCATCTTCAACGTAGATACTTTGTAGCTTGACATCAAAAATCCTGATATCCTGCTCTCAGTACAGGGGGGGGGGAAACACAATCTTCCTTTGTGTGGGGGATGCATCAATCCCTTAGAGAAAACATCGTGGGGCCTCAGAATAAGGCAAAAAGGAGCCAGTAAGAACTAAAGGATACTCACTCCCCCCCCAATACACACACACACACTTTCCCTCCCTATCGCCTCCCCAGTGAATACAGCAACACAAGTCCCTTTGACATCACAGGAAGTTGATCTTTGCACAGGGTCAGTTCCAGACGGCTACCCTGCAACGCTGCACCAGATGGCCGCTGATTGTCGTCTAAATCGGACTTTTCACGTGCTCCTGCAGAGAGGGAGCCGATGCAAAGGAAGCGAGCGAAGGAAGAAAACAGAGGCAACCGGTTTGTGGTCCAGCTAAACGAGAAGAAGATGTGGCACCTGGCGGTTAAAATGTGGAAGTGGGGTGTTAAAAGCCTCGCACTTGCCGTACGAGCGCGACTGACCTTTGGCCGGGCAGCTCGCAGAGCGGTTGCGTTACAGTTCGACCCCCAGTGACTGAGGGTTCACCGGCCCGGCTCCACGCTCGCGAAAACCTGAGCAGAGTGACCAAATAAAGAGCAAAAGACCGAATGTTTACGGGCCGCTCCCGGAGAGCAGTCCCTGCCGCTCCAATGAGACATTCCAGATATCTGTGGCCGGGCCCCGTCATAATGTTTACGCTCCTCCTCAGCGTGAGGAAACCGTGGATTTAGGTTCTGCACAAACACAGGAATACAGACTGTATACTCACACCTCTGCATGCTGCGTCATATACATACATTTCTTATATAGATGCAAGACGGCAGATAAGATTCTTCCGCTTAAATGAATGTTTCCAACGTGTAGATGAGTTCATCCAATACAAAATATGTTATTGTTTTTGTAGTCCTAAGGAAAGAATCTCTATGAAATTCAATTGAAAAATGTCTTTGAATGCAGTGAGCTTGTTACTCAAGAGCCTTCACAACAGTTTCCAGAGAAACACATTTTTCACAGACAGTACTTCCAAAGAACATCGTCATTTACCGGGACATTGTTTTGGAAAGAATCACGCCTCTCCCTTTTCGAAGCAGAAGAAATT